GTATGTTCTTTACATGTGTAACATACCTACAACTTGGTCAAAAACAAAAGTTCAAAAATTTTAATGGAATCTGGCCCAAGAGGAGGAAAGTAGAGATGAATATCAGAGTTACCTAATCAGTAATTCATACACAACACTTCAAGTTGAACACAAGGATACATGATTGCTAATATAATTCTTTTTGCTAGTATAACCTTTTCTGTCTTCTGTAAACACCAGTAAGTACCATATCATTTGGTTTATTCTTACACCTTGAATTTTACCGAAACACCAGTGAGAACTGCTTTCATTTTAGAACAGTATTCACTGTTTTAACAAAGGGAAGGCTGCACTGTGCCACACTTTATCTAGTATAATTTTCTTTAAAGTCTAGATCAGTAATATTTCTTTATATAAAAACTTGTACTAAAAGACAATGCAGATGTTTTCAAGTTCAGTTTATGATGCTCCAACAGTCTACCTACAGAGCTGCAATGGACCTAGCAGCATATGCTCTGCAATACACTATGTAATTACAAAAATTCAAGTGATAGTTAAACAGCACTGATAACAATTTATCTCCTATTAACATCAGATAAATTTATGATTTATTCAAATGGTAAAAAAAAGAAAGAAAACAGAAAGAAAATGTTTACGGTTAAAGATCCTCAGTACTGATTCATGTTGACCTAATTATGGCTCCATAAAGTCTAAACTCTAAGCTAATTCAGTGGCAGAACAGTAAATTCAAAATTATGCTTGCTTTTGGAAAACCTACTTTAGGACTCACATCCTAACATCTATTCATAACTTCTTTCAGCATTATTACCCACAAAATGGAAAACAATAAAAAGAGCTATTAGTAACTAACAGGAAAGTCAATGGGAAATGGATGAGTTGTTTAGTTTAAAAATGTTACCTTTTTTGATATAAGCCATTGTCTGAATCCAATAATTGTTTTTAATTAATATTTTCAAGTAGTTTACATAAAAATGTAAAAATTCAGGGTCCAGGTTCTCAGGTGACTATGATTATGCCTTTAGTTTGGCCTACAGCTATTTGCTCCAATCAAGGAGGAGCCTCTGAAAAACTCATCTATCTGTAAGAACAATAATTATTTATGGTGAGATATCAAACAGCAATGAGATGTTTTTTAAAAGAACTTCACCATAGATTTTGCATGATTTCATGTCTCTTGAATACCCACCTGGAAGAGAAAGCACAGAAAGATATTGTGCTCTCTCACACATTCCTACCCCTAAGTATGTAAGATGTTTTCTTCCCCCTTCCACGTGCTCCTTTCAACCAAGCATTTAGTGGAAACCAAGGTTTCTAATGTTTAATCAAAATTTAATGATGCATTTCTTCTTTTATCAAAACACCTATTTTGTCTCACTTTGAGACTATCATTTGAGAAGCACTAAAAACAAGCAATATAGCTTCCCTACATATTTGACATTCTTCACAAACTTCCCAATAAAAGATAAACAGCCTTGACAGTCACTCCCTTTTCAGTAACTAGTATCAACAATACAGCATTGCTTGACAACTAAGCTACTTATCCCCAAGTTTAAAAGAACTCTTTCTTCATACCTTAGTACTATGTAAAGTTCCTGGCCATGCCATTATGGAGTTTCCTAACAGCACACATGGAAGTCCTTCTCAAGGTAACAATGTTCTCACGTTGCTTTCCTGTTTTGGTTTTACGTGAGAGTTTGCCCCATTGTCTGTTGCTCACTCATCTTCCATGGCTGCTGCCCAGGTCTCAATCAGCACATGATTATTTCACCATCTTCCACGTTTATCTTGTTTTGTGTGTCCTTCAACTGAGTATATTTATTGTGAATAGAATATAGGCCCATCCATTTTATAATTAACAATGTGCATTTATGCTTTACTATGAGTGCATCACTGAAGAAAATGGCTCAATCTAGGCACAATCTGAGAGTAGACTTCAGAAAAATTGTCTGCAAAGATAGGATTTACTTTTTAGGGTATCATTATCCACTTTTTTCCTCTTGTTCTTTGAGTAATGCATAGAGTCATGAGTATATGGTGATTCAGTTTGAGGATAATTTTGTTTGCTTGGGTGTTATTTTGAGGCTATTTTGGTGGGGGTAATTTAAAGCATTGAACTGAAGAATTATTACTGATTTTGTGAAAATACTTCCCTGTTCTAAGACAGCATTAGATTAGTGAAGTGTTGGCATTTTGGTTTTTTTTTTTTTTTTGGTTTTTTACAGGCTTGAGATACAGATTAAAAAAAAATAGCTAGGGTAAAAGAAACCAGGTGTGTTACAAACATAGGTTTATCTGAAGCACCTGTCCACATATACCTGTTGAGCCTCCATTCATGGTATGCAGCTGCACGCTTGAAGAAAGCAGCAAAAGTTAAACTGTTTTATCCATAGGAAAACGTTAACCATGACAAATAATACGTCCAATGAAATACTCTGTCAACACACACACACACACACATACACACACACTCCCTCTGATTATAGGAACAGCAAGTTGGCAAAATGAAGTGACAAGACTGAAATTCCAGTACTGCAGCAACTGCAGAAATGCATTGCAAGCCCAAGAATACAGTCTGTGATAACAAAACCATACTGACATTACTGAACTCTGTCTTTGATGATCACTGGGATATCAACCTAGTGCATAAATGTACGACTATTAAAGCTGGTTGGGTAGATTATGGGGAAAATAACTTATTTTCTCTAAAGTACATCAGTAAGTGAACTTTCCACTGTTGGACAGTTGGCCAGATGTTTCCCATCTCTGTCATGCCTCCTCATTTGTTCTCTAATACTACCAGCTATGTTTGTCCAGCTCCCCAAAGCTGCGACTTTCCAAGGAAAGCTTTCATTTTCAGATTACCCTACTATATTTTTGAAGAGATTTTTTTGGTTTGGTTTTTCTTGCGGTGATGAAATCTTTGTTTTTTAGAGCAAATATGATTTGACTATAATGCACATTTTTCTTGGATATTTAGCTCGTATCAGTGACTCCAGTATTATTAGGAAGCAGATGGAACTTCTCTTCTGGTATCTTGCCATCCTGACAGAATGATGGATGTGAGCAATTGAAAAATCTTTATCTTATTCTACATTGCTCTTAGATGTTTTCTAGTTCCTGCTTTGAAACTGACACATGGCTTGGCGTCCGCTTTTTATGGTCCTTCCGTGCTTTATGTTTCCATCAGGTTTAACATTACCCACATTCATTCACAGCTGGTTACACATACATCTCTGTTTCTTACCTTTTTCTCTGTACTTGGACATAGTACAGTACATATCAGAGCTTTGAGATTGCCACAGGAAAGAAAGGGCTTTTTTGGCTTGAACATACTAATCAAACCTTTAATGTACACATGCTACTGTCTCCAGCATTCCTTTCAACTTAGTGTATCATTTTCCTTCCAAGAGGTAAATTGCTTTCAGACTGGTACCTATGATAAAACAACTAGATTTGTAGATAAGGAAACAGCAAGGGATGTTATGCTCAACTTCAGCAAAGTTTTGAACACTAACTACCCCAGCATTCTTGTATCTAGCTTATGGTCTTGATTGCTGGAGAGATATAAAAAAAAAAGAATGACTAGATAAGGTGATTAACAGGTAAGAGGGCATCTCCAGAGAGGTCTAATAGCAGACTACAACTACCTATGTATGAGGAGGTATTAAGAGGACAAAGACTCTTCACAGTGGCACGTATGACAGGAGGATGTGAGACAGATAATTTATGTTGAAATGAGAGATCCAGACAGGATGTAGGGGAAAAAAACCAAAAAAACCCAAACCATTTTCATCATAAGGACAGTCAAGTACCACAACAGGTTGCCCAAAGAGGCTGTACCATCCTTGGGGGCTTTTAAAATCTAAATGGATAATGCCCTGAGCAATATGATCTGCTCTCACAGCTGACCCTCTTTAGAACTAATGACATCCTGCAATCCTTTCCAACCTGAATTATGGCTCTAAAACATCAAGAGTTCCATGTCAAGCATAGTTTTATTCAGTTTTACTCTCCCATCCTTTCTATACACGCATTCAGATTGTTTGTTATTAAGCACAATTTCTGCCATACCATTAAAAAGTTCATACAGCAAGTTCCATTCATGTTGGATTAGAGATTGTGCTTATTATTTGGCAAGAATCTATGAGGCAATGTGCAATATGTTGTAGGTCACCATTAGTTTTCACAGTGCGTTGGAAAAACAGTAAAAATTAAAAGAGAGCGTAATTCAATCAAGTGTAGGTTTCAGCACGTAGGCAGGAAGAATCACCCAGGAAAAACCCAAATGAGGTATGAAGTAATGACTCTTCAGAATAGAATCAGAAATTCACAACAAATCACAAATCAAATATGAATAAAGAAATTCTGCTAATATTAAGAAGCGTAGATACTACATAGAAAACCACAGAGAAACACAATCACAGATGCAGTTCCTCAGACATGAAGAGCTGCTTAAAATCCTTTTCCTTCTAATTCATTCAAACTATGAATTTGAAGTGAACTTCACTTCCCTACAAGGCAGAACCAAGAAGATACCAAGAAGAGGCTTTCTTTTTTGTATTATTGTTTTCTTATTTAAAACTGCCCTGAAGAAATAAAGAATGCAACAGTTCCTTTAAACAGTTACTTGACTATGTAAATGCTAATGGAAAATATTACTTAAGAGTTCTTATTAAGTGATTTGTTTTTCCTTTATGTTTTTATAGAACCTTCAAACTGACAATATAAATTTAGTATTATAGCTGCTCATAAACCATTACAAACAACACAAATATCTTCTTTATAAATGGGAAGGTAGAAGGTCCTGAAAAATAATTCAGGTTTGAATGTGAGCAAGTAAATTTATGCAAATTGCTGTCAGTCATCTATGTATTCATTTCACTAGCAAAACAACATTATAAATGATCTCTAGCCAACAGTTCTTCATTTGAAGGCATGTGATGCAAATATTTATTCAAAACAGAAAAAGAAAATCACTTAAGGATAAACATAAGTCTTACCACGCCAATAGAAAAGTAGTTATTGATGATGTTGTAAGGCACTGGGTCTCCCTTCTCATCTTTATCATTGGGTATTACTTCAAATTTCCACCTGTCCAGTAAAATCTCTGAGCTGTTCTCAATGTCTTTTAAGATCTTCATCAAATTCTCACCTTCATACCCTAGCAAAACATAAACCCAGTTATTTAATCAAGCATAATAAAGTTTTATTACTTTTTTTTTCTCTTTCTAGATGATTGAACAGTACTCTGAGCAACCTGATCTAATTGAAGATGCCCCTGCTCATTGCAGGGAGGGCTGGACTAGTTAACTAACCTTTCAAGATCCCTTCCAACCCACAATATTCTATGACTCTGTGACTGGAAAAATAAAAGCAATGCCTATAAGACCTTAAAAGCAGGATTCTGCTTGAAATGTTGACAATTTTCCAGCACTTGTCATTAAAAGAAGCACAAATACAAAGCTAATTAAGCATGTAAATTTAGAGTAATTCAACATATTTCAGTGGACATCAGATTTGTAATGAAGAAGACAATTAAATCTTCAAACTTTGCGAATCTCTTGAACTTTCCATAAAGCAAAGGTTGTACTTTGCAAAATGTTCTTGATGAGAAATTAATATTCAAATTCCTTTGATTTCAAAATTTCTGGAAAAGAGACATATTGCTGTTTTGCCTGACCAGACACTGAAAGGTTAAAAGCCAACCTTCTAATTTTCATTGATTGTTTCAATCTGGTTTGGCATAACAAATCCAGAATTTCAAATCCATATCTGATAACTTTATAAGCAAAAGTAACATTTTTGATTATCTCAACAACTTCTTCATGAGCCTCATCCTGCTTTGTAGAGAGAACTTACTCTTTGTTGCAAATAAGCACTCACATGTAATTCACTAAACTGAGTAGAAAACTTGTTTATGCCCTCATGAGTAAACACAACACACACATGTGCATGAAGAAAAACTGTGGGGGTTTTACTATATGACATTATCAAGTCTGAATATTATTCAAAACAAACAACTTAGTAATAAATAGCTAAGATCTGGGGATTCAGTACTTCTTCAAAGCAGAAAAAACAAGATTTCCTATTCAAGCAGCATGTACTGCTGGTGTTATTAACAGCTTTAGCAGGGCAAGCCACTCAAAGCCTTCTTGCTCAAAACCCATTGCTGATGTATTTGTTCATGGTTGCCTAGTACACTTTTGCTAGTTACTGCCAACCACCACATGACAGCAGCATGCACAATTCCATTTCTCTGCATCCTTGAGATCACTCACCAGCAATTTAGTTTCTGGAATCCCTGTCTCCTCTCCCATCTATGGAAATTCCAGAAAATCTGTACTATGGTATTGTTCACCACAAAACAACTTGGTGAAGAATGATGAAATACAGAATATTTCCCTATTGTTTTCTCTACTTTAGTCCAAATAGAATCACTTAAGTTACAGAACAAAAATAAAAGTGAAGGTAGGGACATGTCCCAGCTAATGTATTTAAATGTTCTCATGGTTGACCCTTCTTAGAACAGCAGACTGCACTAGTGACTTCCTATGACCTCTTCCAGTTATTCTATGGATCTATGAACAATTCAGGAAGTTAAGCAAGGCTGATTTGAATAGGTTTTGTCTCATTTGTTTTCGTTTTTTCCCCTAAGATTATGAGAATGTAAACAATCAACAGTTGTGACAGATAAAATAAAGGAGGTTTTCAAATGATTTGACAGAACATTATGGTTAACAAAGTGCTACAGCATGGAAACTACTGAGAATTTGCTAAAGACTATCTGGCAACAAGGCAGACATTTGGAAAGGAAACTGATGAGACAGAAGAAGTAAGATATCTGCAAAGGCTGAGAAGCTCCAAATAAAAGAATCAAGTTTCAAATGCAAAACATCTCAACTGAAACAACCAAGACCTGAAATAGACCTGGCTATGAGCCCATAAAGTGAGGTGTTTTCACCACAGACTGAATATTTTCTAAGATTTTCTTCCTTGTGTATCTTTCAAGTTATCCTGTAATATGGATTGAATGGAGTTTTTTGGAGGAGCTGAGAGTAAGTCTCCATACACCCAGGAAAGGATGCAAAGAATGTTAAAGGTTAGATTTTCTAAATATTCTTCTTTCAGCATTCTTTGCCTTCTCATTTTCTGGTAAATAGTACCACAGCACATTGTCTGGAATCCTCTGTAGGAAGACAGAAAGGGAGTGGATCAAAGGAACTAGTCCAAGGCTAAGACATGCTTTTCATTTAATATTTTTAAAGATTAAAAAAGATTAAACTACTCCTAATCCATTATTAGATATTTTCAGTAACCCTTTCAGAACAGTCCCAATTAAAAGCCATTTAAGACTGCTCCCTATACAAGGTATTGATCAAAGCAATAACTGGAATATGTATGGTAAAAAGCCAACCAAACAGCTATACACGATTCTTATTACACCTTGGAACATTTTTGGTGTCAGTAGAAGCTACAAACAAGGTATGAAGTGTGACTGCAACCTTTAATATCTTACATATGTATACAACAATTATAAACAGATCATTCCAAAAATAGTGAAAGTGATAATGGCTCTTTATGAAAACAATTGCAAATGTAAATGTTGATATAAAATTTTTTAAAAATTTTAATTCAATAAAGATTGCATTTTGATTACCTCCTCCCCATCTCAGACACCTTGCTAAATCATTGCCAGTCCCAAGAGGCAGGATAGCAACAGGAGGATGCTTAATCAAGTTCGCTTTCTCTGTGAATGAAGAAGGAAAAAACACAACTAAGGAACAAAAACGATCTAATTGCATGGTATTATATAACTGTGTTAGGTTTTGTTTCAGTGAAAGACTTGCTTTGTGTATGAAATCATGCTGCCTGCTCCGCAATGGGCATTTCACCAAGTCAGTCCATTTTGTAGTCCCTTCTCCACTGGATATTCAACCCTTAATCCTAATTTACTCATTTATTATCATAAGGATTTTGTAATCTTAATTGACTCCTTTGTTATCATTAGGACTTTGTAAAGCATAGATATGACAAACATTCATGAAAAATGATACTCAAGATCTTTCCAAGAGTGAATATGGTGTTCTTGCTCTAGTTCTCAGCTCTGCCATTCCCAGCTGTGAATACAGAAGAGTGATAGTTAAGGGCATGAATAATGAGGTGAACCTTCTACTTTGTCACCTGGGTGACCAAATTTGTGTGAAACTGTGTATTCACCTGGATTTGTGTCTACACCTGAGCACCACCACCAAGAAGTCACTGGAACTAACGCAAGACCTTAGATTGGTTTGCCCACCAGGAATTTAACCTCCAAAGAGAGCACTGACCTGTATGATCAAGTCTTCAAGTAGCAATTTGCTATTTATTAAACAATGCTTTGAAATGAATGAATTTATAGCATCTTTTCAGTCTTTAATGGTATCTTTGTAGCATTGTAAACCCAAGGATCTTTTCAAAATTGGATGAGAAAACCCTTGTCAAGAAACACAGCCTCTCTGAAAGCTGGAACATATATTTCAAATATATAATTTGTCAAATTTCCCATTTAATGTGAATGAATAGCATGTCTAGTTAAAAAGTTATATTTAATTAATCAGTTATTTTGTTTATAGAATTTTGCACAATTATCAGCAATAATCAGCAGGAGTTTATCTATACAATGGATGTAGCAAGGAAATCAATATTTATCAACATTTTAGAAAGATTTAATATTCACATAACCAGTTTAATGGAAATCTTTCAGAGAATGTAATATTTAATAGAGTGATTAAAGAAAATTTTTTAAAGTTTCAAATTGATGAGAATTATTTTTTCCTTTAATTTATTTGTTCTTTCTTTTCATTTTTTTTAACTTTCTTTTTTTCTTGCTGTGCTCTCAGCTAAAGCTCTTTGTATATCAGGACATCAGGGAAGACCAAATTAGAAAGTGTTTAGAAACAGGTGTACCCTTACACTTTATATGCTAAAGTGTTTTTGCCCCCTAAAAGCAGCATTGAATATATATTTTCTGCACCTATGAAAAAAGATGGTTCCTGGATTCTCGAAGTAATTTCTTAGTTCTATACCACAAAAAATGGTGCAGAACATAGTATATTACTGAAAGAGAAAATAAGTGCATGACATTTTAGACCTCATGAAAAAGCTGATGACACAATAAACAGCTGCAAAACTTTGTTGCTTCCAAGTTTAGGCAATGCACTTGATGTTTCTGTACATTAATTTATGACTCTGAAAGCTACTTGAGAGCTACTTGCAGTAGCTTGCATTTGGAAAAGACTTTTTTCCAACCAAGATTAGAAATATTCCTTTGCTATCATTCCTTCATGACATCAAGTTTACTGTTCAGCGAACTTTTCTGGTCCCCCACAAAGCATACACTTTTAAACACTTCAGTTAAAAGTTAAGTCTTTTGACCTGTCTTGATCCACTTCCTAATTTTCACTGTAACACATGCACACTATTTTCCTCTGCAGCCTAACACCAACTAAATGATCATGTGATGTGGAAGACATCCTCCTTAATAATCTTTGAGAAGATTAAGTATATTAAGTCTGTAATAACTAGACTTGTGGGCCTTCCTTATGATTTTTAAAGAGGACTTTGCAGACAACTGACTGAAAGAACTCCAAAACTGAATTACCTCTCAATACATTATCTTCATTTTGGGATAACATAGTAAAAACAAAAATTTGGTAACCAAAAAAAGCAAGTGACCTAAATTAAAATTTCTTGAAATTAGCAAATTAGCTTTGATTCAGCTGGGGAATAGTCTTTAAGCTGAAATTGAAATAGATTAATTCAGTTTTCTTGCTTTCAGGAAAACCAGAAATGCTGAACTTGTCTAGAGATTTTAAATAACTTTCATTATTTGAGTACACTTAAAAATAATCATGTCCCAAACTAACACATTTAAAAAATTTAAATGAACAAGCTGTTGTTTGAAATAGCTGAATCCATGCATTGGTACATAAGGAAGACCATTAAATGAAGTCCATGAGGCAAGCAAAAGTGTGTGAAGGCTGTAGATTACCTATGCAATCCAAAATCCAGCCCACTGTTCCATCTCCACCACATGCTAGTACTCTGAACTCAGCAACATCTCGGAAAAAATTTAACCTAAAAAGAGTAAATGAAGATACCTAATTATGATCAATAAAATTGTGCATTATGTAAACATGTTATGGCTTAAGACATTTTGTTTAATAGAAAATAGCCAATGATCACTTAAAATAAAAGTAACTTTTGCTTATGTATTCATTTTTAGACAGATAAAATCCAACATTATTATTAATTATTCTCAGTATTATCTGAAAAATTTCAAACAAAATTACTGATTCAAGGGTTAATATGGTACACTAACACTAGAAAAAGTTTGGACCAGATGGTTGGGCCAATCTTTGTCTGACTTCAAATCTTGTTTGAAACTATTGTCAAAAAGCATTCTCTGTTCACTTAGTTGTAAATGTACTAGGTATTCTCTCAAAACAGAAAAGTCTAAGTTGCCTAAATGTATTGGCCATAACATTTATTTGTGAAGTTCTTTCCATAAAGCTATATGAAAACTTCATACTTGTGGTAGAACACTGGTACATATTAAGCTGAACATTCAGTGGTTGGTGAAAACAACTTCGCCTCATGGTTTAATACAAAATGAGAAGGCATCAGATTGAAGATCTTCATTCCATCATCCTGAAAACTGTATTTTAAAAGTAAAATATCTTTGGCAATATTTGCCTGGCTATTTCTGCTTCCATATCCATCAAGTGAGTACCACCACCTCCTCACCCATCTCCTTCAATAACAACGTTGCATAATGTTGGAAAGACAGGATATTTAAAACAACACTAAGGTTCAGTATTTTATATTGAAAGCATCACTTCATGACAGCTTTTGACACATGCTGAAATCAGTCCTTACACATAAACTGTCACTAGACAAAAAAGTTCCAGTAATTTTGTCATATTACTATATATGCATGTGTATGTTCATTCACATATATTATATTCATTACTGTTATAGATATATTAATGGATATTCTATATTCTAGTCACCAGAACTGATATACAGTTTACAATCTCTTAAAAAATGCACAACTAATATATTTTAAACAAATTCCTGAATACAAATAAATATAGACAATAGCTTGCAGGTGTTTAATTCCAACTGTTTCCCATACGAAATTGTAATGCTGCAGGGAGAATTAGTTTCTGTCCTTAGGAAGTTTTACAATTCTTTTGGACCTCTTGATAAAATCAAGAACACATGAAAAATTACAGAGTAAAAAAGCAAGAATGGGAGAAGGAAATGAAAAACACAGTACACAATAAAGTTATGTAATATGTAGAATAATAGAAAGGACAACTTCTTGTTTTATTAGTTTTTGACCAGAATTTCAATTTTAGCCAAGTTGCATAGAATTAAGTTCTTCACATGTCCCATCCCCTGTAATTTTCTTTGCTCAGAAGAGCTCTTAAGCAATTTCAAGTGCAAATATAATGCCTGAAGGATGCCTACTTGCCCTCTATTAAAGGCTGCCTTGCCCTTCTCACCCCTTTCATGTTCTACTTCACACATCTGCAGGAGAAGTGCTGTAGGATCTCCTGTGACCCAAAACGTCATGTGCAAATCTGACTGGGTTCACGTGGGGAACACATCTAGTAAGAGTATGTGCTGAAAGACCCTCTGCTGGGAGTTCCCTCCCAGGCACTGAGATGTGCCCTGGCCCACGGGTGTGCACGTCCATCCCTGCTCATGGCCTGGCACAAAAGAGACAAACACCTCCTGCCACCAGCATTCCCACTGCAAGCCAATGGGTTGGCAGAGAATCACCAGGTGTAATTACATTGCTGCCTACACTGAGAGTACTCCAGCTTAATTTAAAATCAAATTATAGCCCAGAGGTGATGGCAGGGTACTCACTGCTAAGTATTTAAGCATTTCCTCACAGAAAAGAAAGTCAGGAAAGAACCAACCAACCAAAACAGCACCAAAAGCACAGCGTTGATTTTAGCATTGCTCCAGACTGGGAAAATATAAACTTAAACCTCTTCTTCACCATATGGATATCAAACATCCTTTTGTTTTGACTGTATAGCTAATCTTCATCAAAAAAAGTGCAACTTTTAAAAAAGTGGGGGACTGAAAAATCTGGTGAAACCATATTGTCAAAAACATTTTCAATAAGCTGCATTTGTATTTGCCTTGGGGCTTTTTATATTCACAGACAGTGAATTTTCCAAGCAAAGTGTAGCACTAAATTCACATATCCTTTTCTTTTTCTAATTTTAAATATAAAAATTATACACAAATTATATAAAAATCTATCACACAAAATACATAAAAATAATGCATGTTACAGTGTATATTTGCATGTATAAATGCAGTGTATATAAATATACTATAGTAGATATAAATATTTATAAAACCAAATTGATTTATAAAATTAAATATAGTTATATAATTATATATGTAAATAAATCTTATTCATTGAATTAGAATGTGCAGCCTACATTAGGAGTTGGGAAGGGAACACAGTTTTCTATTTTATAAGATTTTATTCAGACTCATTAAGTGTTACAATTGTACAGCAATAATTTGACAGATTTCTTTAGAGATCTTAGAGAGAAAGTCAGTACTGCTTACCAAGAAAATTGTACTCAATTAGTGTTTTAATATCACCTGTTAATTTTTATCTATCATTTTGACGTGGTTTGAAAAGAGTTTTAAAAAAACTGCTGGAGAAGAACTTAGTAAAAGTGGTTTAAAGTGAAACTAAAAAAAAATGAAGTAATTGTAAAGATTTTGTGCAATGTCAGCCTAAGTTAAAAAAAAAAGAATAGAAAATTTTATCCTATTTTCTTGGAAAAATTTGAAACACTGAGAGTGATCACCACCAGTCTAATTTTATTTTACTTTGCCAGAAACAAGGATTCAAAGGCAGTTACTAAGTTTCTGCTAATAAATCAGTAATTTCCACCTGAAAGTGGGCAACTGTTTCAGCTACGTATATTACTCTAATTCAGTTTTTCATAATCACCTCATCAAGTCCATAGGAGTGCAGGGGATCTATTAATGAATAAAATACCAATGCTAGAGAAAACCACTATTTGATTTTGAATCATGCAGTTAATTGATTTATGTACAGGTGGCAAACACATCCACATTCTTATAGAACTGTTCAGAGAAAAATATAAAGTATTTATTTTAATCTAATTAATTTAGTTTATTAGAGTAAAACTGAAGTTTTACTCACAGTAATGAAAAGACAAATTGCAGTATTTTCCAGTTAAGTTACCTGTACATGACTACTGCTCTTATACCCGGAAGCTGTGCACTATGCAGAACTTCAGCTACTCAGCCACACAAGGCAGCATAACAGCAATGCATGAAATCATTCACCAATCTTCACTCACAGTGGAAGCAAAATTTAAGACTGCCTACAGCCCAAAAAAATAATCCACTAGTGGATCTCAGCATAGGTCTCAGGTGCCAACACCACAGATGTCATAGAAGTAAAAATATTGTTCAACAGCTGCTTAAAATATATCCCTAAATTCAGGATTTACGTATCATATGTGAATTCTAAGTACCACTGGTTTGTGGTGTACAAAAATAATTTTATCATCAGATTACAACCAACCCACCATTGCTGGCTTTGCCAGTCTTTGGCAAAAATGTAATTCTTCCAAGAAAATATGGACCAGATCCAATATTTTGTTTGAAAGAAAATAACTATGCAGTTATTATCTTCTAAAAATATTCTTGGTGTATACACCTTCCTAGAATACTATGGATATTCCAAGGTCCAACAGCAAAGAAATGCTCAAGAAATCAATTCAAATATTTAAGGAAAATAGTGTAATTTTCAAAACAGACCTACTGCTTTGTGAAGGTTAAAAAACCCAGATGCTGTATATTCCCAATTGAATTAGAGTGTAAGTTGCAGAGATTCTGCTTTGGTGTCTTGGGCATCTTTTAAGTGGGCAGAATTTAAGATTTAGAAAGGCCAGTTGAAGCAAACTTGCAGCTAGAATTCAAAAAATAGATGCTCTCCAAATTAAATGCTTATGGAAGCTACAAAGAAATACAACTTTTGTGGATATAATTTCTATAATAGAGTATAAAAATACTATAAATTAGACATTTTAAATAATAGAACTTTAGGGAACAGAGGCCTTTTCAGAGGGACAAAGACTTTGTGAAACGCTGACCTCTCTACAGAGTCCTGCAGCTCTGTGGCTCGACTGCTATTCATCCTGCTATTATTTACCTCTCTGTGAGGTGAACAATAACTGAATTTCAGATTCTTCAAGATCATTAAATCCACAATAACAGTTGTTGTCAGAAGTAGAAGACTCCTAGAGAGATGTAACAACCAAACAGGGAAACTCCTTTCATGGCAAAAAACACAGGTGCCAGGCACAAATTACACAATGCATCAGCCCAGCAATTTTCTCGTCACTGCGTTAACTGTGGCAGTCTGTAACTGTGGAGTACCTTTTATGCCTGTGTTCAGCTGCAGAGCTTACAAGGCTTTTCCAGCTCACCCATATCTCTCTACTGCCAATTAAAGAATGTCTAAACCATTAATTACTATACCCATGTTTATAGTGTGCTGCTGCCCTTTGGCTTAGAGCTTCTTGATTTTCAGGCCTCGCAGCAGGTCTCCATTGCTGGAAAGGAATCAGTGCAAGAGTCGCTGCCATGAGGTTTATTTGCATCATGTACATATTTTCATACAGACTATGTACATCATGTGTTTTGACATAAACTGCTCCAAAAACCCTAGCTCAGAGACAGGAAAAGAAGCTGCAAGAAATGTCATTGCTGCTGTTCCACCCCATCTATTATGAAAGTAGGCAACACATGTACTTCAGTAATTGTACATTGAGGTTGTGATACTAAAATTTGTTGTCATTTGCTCAAAATATTTTTCTGTTGTCCTGCTGTATGTCAGCATTCTATATAGAAACATATAGAATAAATGGTATTAAGAAAGGTGGGGCTTTTTTGAGGTTTTAGGGGGTTGTGTTTTGGTTTGGGGGTGTTTTTGTTGTTATTTTGAAGTTCTTTTTTCCAAAACATATCTCTGCAAGAACATGGTTATCCCACTCAAGAGGTAGAGGAATAGACATAGCAATTGAGTTGCTGACCATTAAAAAAAACCCAAACCAATTTCAGCACCCTTAAGATTTGCAATTTTCTTAGTCTCCTAGTTCTTTTTTCCCTCTCTCTGCCCATTGAAAAGGGAATACATAGATTTTTTAGAAATTTATGTACTCCCTCTAAAAATTAACTGGAAATAAAAATTCATGTCAGCCACAGATGTTTGGAACACAAGTTACAAAACTTGTGAATGTTATCTTCTTGCTTGGTGATGGCAACCCATGAGAAAAATACCATCAGAAATTAAAAAGATTAATTTATGGGTTAAAGCAAACAGGTTGGCTCTAACAAAAAAAAATTAAAAAGCAAATTCTTAACTAATACTGCAGATATTCTCTAGGTTAAGTCAACATGGCTGAAAATAGTAATAAAAGGGAAAAAAACCACATCTCAAAATAGTCTCAACTAAAATGTACCACAGTAACCATAAATGCTTTAAAATAAATATATATTATGCTTATCCCTTTCTACTAAATAACTTCCAGGGATGAACAAATACATTTCTGCTTTTCTCTGCACTGTACAGTACCCAAATCTGTTCCATTTTGACCTAAATTTCACATGTATTATGAGAAAATGAAATAAACGCAGAATTTGGATTGACAATCCAGTATAACTGGCATTATAGAGATGGATGAATGAGTGGACAGATGGATGAATGGGCAGGTTTTATTAGGCAACTCAGGCCTCACAGAAAACAAGTACTAAGTGAAACACCAGAGTTTATTCAACTTCTCACTTAAGGGCCAAATTATATGCAGCCTACAAAGTATTGCCAGGGGCAAGAAGTGATGGCAGGAGACAAACTGGAAATTTAGGATTATTCATTTCAGTGATAGGAATTTAAGATATACCAAAACAAGCAGCGCCTGTTTGAAAATTAATTAGAATTTTCTTCAAAGTGATTCTGAGCTAAAACTACTTCGATTTCTAATAGAAAGTGGAATTGAAAACATTTTCTGAAAAACACTGTCCTGGTTCAAAAGACAAATGTTTGAATTGCTTCAGTGCTTGGTTTCAGCTTGAACTTAACACTGCCCTCTTGTGCCTCTGCCTTAAAATGCATTTTCCTTCACAGCATGATGAAAACTAAGTCACTAATGCACAGAAATGCAGCCAGAATTATTTTTTAATTTCGAAGAAAGAAGATGACTATGAACAAAAATATTTCATTTTTTGGTTTTTTTTAAATTCATCCTCCCAATTTCTAGCACAGCCTTTCTATTACACAGTATGTAAAACAATATTAGTTACTACTTTTGTCTCAGTTAATTCTTCCAGTCTACTTATTCTTTGAACTAAGAGTACTTTAAAAATACTATAAAAACAAATTTCATTCGAGTACTAAAAACAGCACTAGCATTCAGATATAAGACACATGCATGAAAGAAATCATGCATGTCATTATCTCCATTTTTTGGGCTGGTTTTGTACCATTCAGCAGGTTAACATTAGCTATACTGCAGTGCACGATATCTTAACTTCTGAAAGCATTGAGCCCAATATGCTTTCCACTTTCATCAATGTTGCTTTTCACTTTCATCAATGTTAGATATGTGTAAAGGTCTAAACAAATAAAAAATCCAAGGATTTAAAAGAAAAGTATTCAAACAACAGTGTAAACAATGTCAGTGAACATATGCCTCCTTCTGAAACTCTTTTTTCACTGATGTAAAATTTCATGTATCAGTGACAAAAGTAAATTGCACCCATTACATACAAAATAACACACAGAGTAGATATTTAGTGCTGCTCTATCTAATTTTCTTCTACCAAAGCACCCACTGCTTAAAAAGGAGACAATATCAGGTGGCAAAGGTTGGTGTTTGATACACTGTAATTCTCCCCTCCTCACAGGAATGCAAATAAGGAGAATCACGGAGGAAGCACACTAAGCAAGGGACTGCAGTGCCAGCTGGTTCACAGAGCACTTTGGTCCACATTACAGGTCACTGCCAGCACAATCCAGTCGTTTTCCAGCCACTATATTTCCAAGATCATGTAACTGATAAGAAGCAGGCAGTCACCAATACATTCCAGACACCCATGCATGTGCACATGTGTGTTTATGTAAGTAAAAGAAATGGATGTCTTGCTGGTCAGTCTTCGAGGCTGCTGACATCTGCAACACAAGTAACCCCCAGAACTCAAGCTGCTGAAATGGCAGTTAAAGATGGAATCAGAATTAAGTTTATCCCACAGGTCTTATAGAATAGCACATGGTTTTCAGCAACACATCTGAGACATAGCTTTACTTGTAGAGGTAAACAAATAATACTTATACATTTCTGCAGCCATTCAGAGAACTGCAGTGTTGATACATTCCGAACATGCTATATGTACTTCAGTCTGTTCATTTGATTATACAGTATTTTATTAAATGAGTTCCTGGTAATAATATTAACTGTAGACTTACCCTGGCATAGGTCCATTTCCAGAAAGACTATAAACTTGACGAGGATTTAAAAGGTACTGAAATTTTCTATAAATTCTGAAGAGGTAAAAGAGACAAGGAGAAAATATTACATGTTTGGAATTTTTAAAAAATCTTTCGTATGAAAGAATTAAATAAATTAGAGCATACTACAATTATTTGAACTGCAGGATCTCATTTATACAAAAAATCAAATACTTGAACACAGCAATTATAATTCATACATAGAGTGTATTGTGGTGTATAAAGTTGAGACAGAAGTACTACAAGCTATTTACATTCCAAATGCTGTGTGTAGACAGAAACAAAATACAATAAAAAGCTATAATTACACAACAAAAGGTGAATCAAAAAAGGATTTTGGAAAGCACATTGATTTGTATTAAAGTAACTCCATGGCAAAGGAGAGATTTCTTCCTGAAATTCATTGCAAACACAGAGCTACACATTTATTTAATTGCAAAAGCTAATTGGCTTTGCCACCCACCAAAAATGTCCACATAGACAGGAAAACATTCTGATAAAGAAAACCTGTGTTCGACTACATTTCCTCAGGATTACATTTGAATGAGAAGAAAATGAAAAAGATTTGAAGCACTGTTTTACTAAATTACACTTATTTTTAAATTACCTGAATAATAGGAAGCAATTTTTTGATACAGCATGACAAGCATTGCCCTGTCCCTCATGGGACCCCATTTGCTGTCCTAACCTGAGCAATTATTTCTTCTAAAGTGTAAATTTAGAAATTTGAGTTTACTTGCCCTAAAAGTGTGACAGAGATCTTCATTACAAACATTAGAAATGTAATTTCCTAAATTGACTGGAATGCAGTAGTGATTCTTTTCTCACACAGAACCAAGAAAGCACAAAAAAGAGTTGGAGCTCACAATAAATAAATATACACCTGAGGATGTATGGCAATAGTTTAAATTACAAACTCGTTTCTTTATTTTAATTTTAATGTTTCTGTCCTTAAGCTAATTAATATTTTAATGTTTTTAAGAAAGCATTTATTTTTCATTGAAATATTGCTTCTTTTCTTTATAATCTCTTAAATGAAATAGAAACATAATAAGACCTGAATTCTAGGTTAAAATGTCCACGTTTTCAAATACAGCACAATAAAACTATCTAGACACAATCTATGTGCACATTCAGGGATTTTTTTCTTTTTTTTTTCTCAATAGAAATGCATAATTTATCAGGGTAGCTGGAAAGTAAGTTTGTAAAAAATACTGAATACAAACAAATTCATAATTATCTGTATAACTGTCCAATTGGAGTATTTTCTTAACTTCTCAATTATTTAGTGATGTCAGTTTCATCAAGCATTTTATTCAAGCACACCCACACAATATATTCCTGCTGCTATTCCTGACAGAAAAAGTCGGTATGAAATGACTAGTTTCATTCCACAAGTATGCACACATCATTGTTAATGGCTCTGATGATGATCAAATTAGACAATGGATTTACAACACAATATACATATTCCCATTTCACAAATGTAAAAAGGAGTTTTCTATTTAGTATGTGTGATTTGCTTCTCAGAGATGTGTAGAATTTTATCTATCAAAGGTGATGCTAATTTCATTTGTCTAGCTGACCATAAGAAGTTAATGAACAGTATTTTTATGAAGTCCCAAAGGTCTAAGAGTTATTTTTCTAAATTTTGGTGCTACAAAACGGACTAGCCATTACCTACACTCATAGTGCTGTTCTCAGGTAACAGTGAAATGCTGGAAAAGCCTTCTTAATTAAAAGGAGGTCTGGTTTTTCTGCTTAGAACCCAGAAGTCCAACTGCAATAATGAAGAGATTATGCTGAATTGTACTTGACTCAGTGCATACCATTCATGGCTACCAGTTGAACATCAATACCTGCTAATCACTCCATGACTCACTGCAAATGACACATCAAGCTTTAAGTTATTAAACACATTTATGTATTCTAGTCTAAAATTCATAAATTGATGGCTCATTTCTATTCACACATTCTCAAAAAAAAATTAGAAACTGTTTATAAATGTTTTCCTCACACAGACCTAACAGGGTGACAGAGGGAAGCCAAAGAAAAGGGACAGTAACTCAGCCTTCCAGTTTTACATCTACAGTACCAAAGAGTGACACTGACTTGGCTCTGAATGCCTTGCTTCCACATGTGGGGAAGGAACTGGATGTGGTTTCCTTGTGACTGGAGATTTGTGCTGACAAGGCCATGAGGTGGTGTGGTGGGAAATGCCCCAAAAGATATTTTTGTGATGAAATGCAATTTCATGAACGAAGCCAGTTTATGAAATTACCACTTGTCAACAAACAGCTGTGCTTCAGTAACTACTTTTGGGGTTATTCTGTGATCTGGAAACTAAAAAGGTTCAATTTAAAACAGAAATCCACAAAGTTTCTTCATTGTAATTTTTCTTTATATTTCAATCATGCCCATGATCTCATATGAACCTCAAAATGCTTGCTATAATAACCGAGGGAGAAAATTATCTCAGGAGTGGCCAAAGGAGCTGGCATCATCTTTAATCAGCTCAGCTGCTGAAGAAAATACTTTTGAGTGCACCTTTAGCTGAGTTAGATTAAGCTGTCTTCTGGAGAAGAGAGAAAATAAATGGCCAAAACTATCTGGCAATTCAAAAGTGGCAATAAAGTTGACTACACTGTGGAAAAAAAGCTGGCCATGGCCAAAAAAAATGCCTTCTGCCACAACTGGGGATACACCTTCAGTTCTCCAGGGGCTATTAAAGATGTGGTTAATATGGGCTTCATTTAACCCTGATGTCAGACAAGGAAGAAGCCAAGGACTCCTCTCCAAAATAATAAAAAAAAGTGCTAGTTATCCTTTCTTCCAGACATACTGTATTTGAAAAAGAACATTTGAAACTGCTTCAAAATTTTGTCTCAATGCTAAATGAAAGCTCAGAAAATCAGATTAGTCGTAGGGGAGGAGGGAAGAACTACTATGAACCCAAGTCATTTGAAAACAGCAAAGGTTAAAAATATCATCAACCTGTATTGCACAGACACTGACCGTGGAGTCAGCAGGAAACGTGCGTGTACGGAAGCTGATCTCCAGTGCATCCAACAGCACATTTGTCAAGGAAACAATTGTGTAAACTCACCCTCTGGTCAGGCAAATAAACTGGAAAATGGGGAAGTGGAAATCAAAGTAATGAGTATGGCAAAACAACAGCATGATTTAGAATGACTCTTATGTGAGAAACATTACCCTTAACAACAGCCTACAGAAGCACTACATGCTTGTATATTCTTTCTGTTGAAAGAAACTATTTTGTGAATGGTGTACTACATACATACATTTTATTCACAGATTATTGAAAATTGTTGCCTTGATTAGTCAGATCATAAATGCAGACATTCCAAACCGATAGCCCTAGAATGAAATGGATGTTCAACTTTTTTTTTTAGATGAAATTAACTGTACCTGCCCATTTCCTGCACAACCACTGAAAATGTGTTATGGTGTGATATAGCCTGAGAAATTCACTTGCCTGGGTTTGATAAACTCCTATTCATTCTCATGCTAAGTTAAAATCGATTTCTAGTATAGGAAAGCCTTAAATTAATCAACTTTAATTCTATTTTTCTACTTTCTCCTTAATAAAAATTGACTTCTATTTTTATTCTATTATAAACATATGTATTGTCTATTAAAAAATAATTCAAGTCCAAATAACAGCAAATACACTGGAGTGTCACATCATGGGCCATTATTAACCTCCTAATTGAGAAGAAAATATAATGGGGCTACTGTCATAATTCTTTATTTTGCAATTATATCTGAAAGTCATAGGACTGGTCCTTAAAACAGAAACCAATTCAGAAAGAATATATTTATCACTACACATTCTGAGAAACTGAATTTCTAACATAATGAAAGTTTCAAAATGTATTGATAAGATATAGTTGCAGAGTTTTTTGTGTTCTGAATTTTTTTTGTGTTCTGAATGCACTTTCTCTACATATCTGTTTGTTTCCCGCCACCCCTCTGTTTGAACATTTAAAAACTAAAACTAAACAACCAAACATCTTTCACCTTTAAGTGACCCTCAGTTTTGCATTTGAGAGATTTGAGAAAAATTACAAAATCGAAGAGGAAAGGACCATGTACTATTGGGGGTGTGCATTTATTCAACTGTTTTTCAGCTGTATGCATAAACTCTCTCCAAGAATAACACAAGAAAATGGGCTGGGTTACCATATGGTAAGGCATGAAATCTTGTATGGGGAACTGTGGGAATGCAGGAGACTTGACAATCTGCAATAATCTTTCCATGTTCAATGAAAGTCAATTAGAAATCTTGTCTTCATTCACTGTGACCTCTCAAATACAGAGAATCCCAAGTAAAAACTGAGACATAATTTTTAGTAGAAGATTTTCTTAATCTGAATGAATCAAGATAATGAAATTCTGTTCTACCAAAATGAAGGTTGTGGGTTTGCTTTGCCCCTTTTTTTTTTTTCCCCTCACTGCTGGGGAAAACCTTCCTTTTGTTACAGGTATCCTCTAGTTCCACCCTCTCAGCACCTGACCAGATTAAAAAGTTGCAATAATCAAAAATCCTGACTTGAATGCCATTTACTTTAAAGTTGGACTCGATGATCCTTGTGGGTCCCTTCCAAATGTGATGAAATCTGTCAATAACCACAACCTTGTATTTTGCAAAGTAATTTATGTCTTCAAATGTCCTGTGATTTTACTTTCCACAAAATATAATTTTACTGCCACAAAATTGGAGGGTAGGGAATATATGGCAATTTCTTTCTGGTTACTGACTGTAAAGCAGACAGATAAAACCCAGGAAAACAAAAAAAATTCAAAAATATTTCTCCTGAGAATGTTTTCATCACTTAGATTGAATATTCAAACTAATAGGCACTTTTAGCATCTTAGAAGTATTTTATACTTCTGCTTCTGGCATTGATATGAAACATTGACACCTCAAAAATGGACTGCAAACCTCTTCTCAACAAATAGTCCATATGTGGACTTTCTTCAACCTTTTCGAATCTGGCTTTAGATCTAATTGTGAGATATTATCTCCTAATGGTGAATGACCTGAGACATGTTTATATGACTAGGCAGTTGACCTTTTGATGCGATTCTCTTGAAAGAGATATATTTATTGAGTGCAGCCTTGACACATTAGTATGTAATTTAACATTTTGTGTACCTATGGTATCAAAGCCAATCTAAGAGGTTCTTACAATTCACTATACTCAGCTGCTGGTGCTTGCCCTCATGCTATACACTTTATTGTGTAATGACACTTGTGGATAATGGTGCTAGTGAATGAAGTGTGCATAGGGCATCCATTTTTAAAATTCACATAATTCCTGTGATCTGTTTGGCCCCAGTAACAGTTTCATTGACATAAACTGAGAAGTGTTAGACTGTAATACATGAAGGGGAATAGGAGCTTGAGATGGGGATCAGATTTTAAACATGCGTTTACCCTGGAGAATATCTAACATTAAATGACATCCCTGCTGCATTAAGCCCATTCAAATAGTAACACTTGAGACCAATTATGAGCTGGGAACTGAAAGCTGTGAAACAGCATTTCATTAAATTGTTTCTAGGCTATAACTAACTGTGTAAGTGTAGCTCTCTAACCTGCCTCTCACCTACATAATTGCAGACTGGATCACTCATCTACTCACTTCATATTGGTATTGTAAAAAGTCAAGCTGAGTGCTAGTGCAAATTACCTTCCACCAGACCCCTGACTGCACAGCAGACCAGGGCTGCCTCACACAAAAACTCAGGATGGCTCACACTGGTTTGTTCACATTGGAAAGGCATGTTTTTGAAACTGCTTAGAACTAATCTTTTACATCATTAACTGCCTTTGACACATCTAGCTGACATCTAGGCATATCAGTCCAGGGATTACATAATCAGCTCTCAAGTAATAGCCAGTTCTCTCAAAGGCCTTCAAACACAGTTTTGGTTAATGCTCCTTAGCTTTAAGAATTACCCTAACAACTACTCTGCAGGATTTTGTCCCCTCTGACAGCTTACTTTTAGGGGCACAGGAAGACGTGATCTAAGGGAGACAGGGTGGAGAAGGCAGGGAAAGCTGACCCATTAGAGTTTGCTTGCTGGGTTCCAGGCTTTAGAGTCACACTGCATCCCTCCTTTTTTTTGCTTCACATCACCCATATCACCAATATCCACAGTTATCACCTTCAGCTGGATCCTGGACCAAAAGACCATAATCTTCTTGAAGACATGAAGTTACAGCACTGCCATGGTGAACTAGGCTATAAAAATTTAGGGATTTATGGGATGGTCAAAAATGACCACACTGTTAGCACATGGAATCCTGAAACATGCTCTGAAAAGTCTGTTTAGTAGGCAACTAATTCAGCATTCCTGCCTGAGTAAGAGGAGAATGCTCCTCACTACTTTATCAGGCCTCTGATACATTAACACTTAAACTAATAAACTCAGACATTTTTATTTAAATCAATGTAATTACTGACATATGTAAAATTAATATGTCTTTAATTTGTGTGATTGGACTCTAATAATTCAACTGGATTTTTAGAATGCTTCCTATTTACAGAAATCAAAAGGTTTCTTTGAAGGAAATCTTATGAAGAAGCTTGAGAGCCTCTACTACTAAGTCTATAGAAAGCAAATCATACATTAAAAAATTGAATACTGCTTCTAATTTAGACTACTGACCTGCCTGTATAATCATTACACAGATTAAAAGAACACTGTTAGCACTTTAAAGTTTTAATACAAGATATGGCAACTCACATCTTCACGCAAATCACACAAACTCATGCACTGAATATAGCTACTTTTTTTGATTGGAAACAATACTATCCTATAGAACTAACTCTTCCTTTTAACTGGAGAATTTATAGGTACAGAGATATAGGATGTTCAACTGTGAGGAATAACAACATAAAATGTTGGATTTTTTCCACATAGACAAACTTCTAAAATTAATTTTAAAACATTTCAAAGACCAGAATCAAGAAAGAAAGAAGAAAAAAAAAAAAGAAAAAGAAAAAAACCCTTACCTTTCTCCTTGTTTCCCACCACTTTTAGGATTGACAAAAACTAAAAGTGGATGAGTGCCTGGAACTGGAGTGATCTAAAAGAAGGGAATAACACAGCCACTCATTAATGCTGTGTGTTGCATTCATTTTTTCCTATAGTAGACAGAAAACAAAAAGCTTAATGCAAACTCTATGTTATGCTATGTAATCCAGCTGGAAGCAATACCAAAATTTGCAATAATCCTCACTTCATTAATTTGCCAGAAATTGCAAGTGACTTCTTTTTTAATGCTGTCTGTTTAACAGCTGTGTTGCCATTTTAACCAATAATGCCACTGAGATATTGAGGTATATACACACATAACCTATCTCTCTATATATAGATATATACTTGTTGGTGTATATAGATATACATACATCCATCAGTAGAGAAGAAAATTTTAAGTGTAAATAATGCATTAATTACTCTGACAGTAATTTCCTTTAAAAAAGGAAAAGAAAAAAAGGTTAATCTGTATTTTGGAGTGAGAAATGACACTATATTATATACTATGAAGGTCAACTATAGCTATAGTGGAAAATTGAACTTAACAGATTTTTTTTTTTAATTATGGCAATGAATATCTACAATATTTGATATATTATGAAATCACACACTTTTTAAAACGTGGCAACCATAACATTAAGGAATTCCTTTAAACAGCTGAGAAAGCAGAAAAACTTAAGAAGGTAGAGGAGAAACTGTAAGGAAGAAAGGCAAGTCTGACTAAAAGAATGCTGATGAGAAGCAAGGAAACAATGACTTCTAAGAAGGAAACAATGACTTCTAGCATTATTTTGTTTTACATTCTTTTGTGTATGGAAAGTTTTACACATTCATGTTAATATTTAGCTTTACAAATTAACACCATCCTTCTAAGTAATAGGGTTAGTCTGTATTTTCAAATACTCTTAGATGTGTGTGTTCATTGCCTTTACTCCAAAGACTTGAACATAAAAAAATTACATCAGATGATCTCTAATACAGGTCTTAATCAATGAAGCTGGACTATTCATCTTTAGAAGCATCATTTTAGACATATATATTCCAAAATGTTTGAAAGTATATTTAAAGTTCAAAGTCAACATCTCCAAAGTCATACACTAACAACTTGAGAGATGAAGCTTGGACCATCTGCATTTCAAAATGATGCATTGAAAGTCCTTGCTTGAAGTCCTTATTCATAATTCCTGAAATAAAAAAATTTGAAAATTTCATAAAGTGTAATTTAAGGCAGAACCTGAGAAACATCATAGCTAAGGAGTTTTACAGACATACTAGAGATATAGGCATATAATCCTACAAGGCATCTAAAAGCACTTTTCTTTTAGTAGGAAATGTTAGGCAGTAGTGTGTCAACTCTAATCATGATTTCAAAAAAAAAAAGAATCAAATCTGTTCCAATACATACAAAAATAATGGAAAAGTCCACAAATTCGGTGGTATTAAGCTTATCATGAAACCAACTCAGTATCACCTGGCACAGTAAAGTGCTGTGTGTTGAAACATACATCAAATTGCAGAATACAGTGAAGTTTGTCATATATTTAATTTTTACCTACTGTTTTAATCAATTTGAGTTATTTAGCCAATTCCCATGGTGTTTATTCCGGTGAACTAAGTGTAAACCAATGGTGCCCATTTTGACAGAGATGGAATACCTACTGAAATCCCTTAGGACGCAGGTTAATTAATGAGACTCATCCTAAGGTTATACATGATCTATTACTTCCTCTAATTAGAAATAATAATCCTGATCATTATGCTGGTTAGCTAGAAAGAAGCAAGATGAATGTGCTTAACTATGATTAATTGTCTTTAAGTTGTGCAGACCTCCACTGCCACTAAGTTATCTGCTCCCTCTGTCTGATGGAAGGAAGGTTTGGGCTTGATCTTTTTCTCAACAAAAGCTAAGTGATGGAACTTTCTATTTTAAACCTTTTCTTTCAAGACTCAATGAGATTATTTCAAGTAGAAGTGTTTGGCTCATCAAAAAAAAAAAAATCTAATAACTAGTCTGTATCCCACTTGGTTCCAAAATAAATTTTAATTAAATTTTTACAGCTTTTCCAAATTACTTTTCCAGATAACATACGGCATTTTTATATAATGAAATGCAACTAAAGATTTAGACTAAATTAGTGAACATTTTCAAGCCCTAATCTAGCATGACTTAAAGGCAATCTTCATGATGGTATAGTACAAGTAACTTAAAGTAAAAAGAAAAACCAAAAATAAAAAAGTGGTGGTGAACTTATATATAGTTTCTCCTATATTGAAAATAGAGGTCTAACAGCAGTAGTATCAAGATCTTTGCTTTTTTAAATTGTATCTTTAATCATAAACAAATGCAATTAATAATTAATACTGATTAAGTTCTCTGAAATAAAACCCTTGCTCACTGAAGATTTTGTTAAAATGAGACCATGCCAGCAGAATCAGAGTATTAGAAACAGAGTAGCTTGCCAGATATGGGAGAATTAGAGTAGTATACTTTGATCAGATACAGAATGTTTTCTCCAGACCATCTTTGGGCAAAATACTAACATTAATTGCCAGTTATATTTATAGCATCTTACATATTTGTGAGAAGAGCTGGAAAATTATACAATCTCTGAGGAAAAAAAGCCCTAAAATTCTCATTAATCCCATCCTTTCAGTAGGATGGCCCTAAAGGTCCACTCAGGCTTCACAATGATTACATTCACAAGAGGTTATCATTTTTAATGCCAATCAAAAATTAAATATTTTATGCTAAGATGGATTCCTGCCACTCAAAACCAATTAAATCCATCTGTGAAAAACAAAGACCACAATATAATCAGCAAATTAGGGCCATAACTGCAGAATTATTTCTAATGTTATCACCATGGTACCATGTCATGGACTACATTACAAATGTGTCATTACAGAACACCAAGCACGTCAAAAAACACCTCAAATCTATTCAATAATAATGCTATCATCTTTGTCCCCACTCTCTTTTTCTCAATCTCTAGCAGTCATAAAGAAAAGCAAGGATGAAATGAAGGCTTTTGACTCATGTTGGAAAGACAAGAGAGAACACAAGTTTTGGAACACACTAAAAAAGGGGAAATCTTATGACCTGAAAGCAGAACATACAATAATTTAAAGTTTTGTGTTGAAGAGCCAATGGTGCTAAAAGCTGCTGTTTTGAGTAGACCAAGCATTATATCCTTGGCAGTATCACATGAGTGGGAAATAGAGACAAAAAGTAGCAGAAAATAAACTATGAGCATAAGTAATCTAATGCTCAGAGTAAACACAAAATTCATAATGATACACGGTGCTGCAACCAAAAGGAGATGCCAAAGATGCTCCTCTAGAATACTTTGTCTCACTGGAATTGCAAAGTTAGAAAATACTGTGTGTTTTCTTTAGCACAAACTTATTCATCACACTGTGACTGATTAGACAGAACTTGAGCTTTCTTTCAATTAAGACTCCAGCATTTCTTGCTTCATGTTTTGTCACAGATGATCTGGACAGCAATGAAGCCTGTTGAAAATGATAAGTACAGGAAGAGATTCTTGAAAGCAAAGGATAATGACTGCTCTAATATCAACTATACCATCAATGGAGCATCCAAGTAACTGGATAGGTTTTAGGTTTTTCAGGTTTTGTTTGGATTTTTTTCCCTTCTTTGGTATAACAAAAACGTTTGACTAATCTAAAACACAAAAAAATACAATAAACCTCCCTATCCTGACACAACAAGATGAAATAATTATGAGGCATAAAGTAATTGATAAATGGTAATGGAATCTTTTTACTGAAGCCCAACTACAACATATCAAAAGACAGAGAGAACACATAACTATGCATATTAAATGATTATCACATTGTTATCATGATGATAATTTAACTCCTGAGGACATAAAGCAGCATATGGACATTGATTTCACTCAAAACTACTCATATCTCAAGGGAAACAAGTCAGCAGTTCAGGTGTGCCTATAAGTTACCACCCTTAAATAACAGTAGCTCATCACACACATGAGTTTTTCTTTCAACCAGAAAAACTTCCATTTTTATTATAGATATTGCTAGTAATGAAAATTGATTCTCACCACTGTTAATGTTGATATGCCAAATACCCTACTTAGAAAAACCTGGATAAATAACATCCTTGAAGTTTACTCCATCCATTAATTAACAGGTCCAAATTAGAACAGTTAACAATTATCAGGACAGACTTAGATTAATAATGTAAATTTACACAACATTGCATTATGTGTAAGCAGATACCAAAATAAACTATTCACCCCATGACAGAAGTGTTTTAGAGCTAGTCTTCCCTCCCCCTTATTGTCTTAGGAAATCCTAACAGTCACATGAAAAGCAGATGAGTATCACCGGATTCCTGAACCAATGCAAGAATTTACCTATTGACTTTTAGTCATATAAAAGTGAAATATTAGAAGAGTGAATGCATATTTCACTTTAAACATATTTCACTCTTCATACCTAAAATTATCTGCTTAATATTGAAATAACAATAATCACACCTGAAGGCCTTGTCCATCTACGGTGACAGAATTTGCTCTTTGCATTTTGTTCCGTTCTCCCAGTTTGTTCATTTGCTGGGTGCAGCTCTTTTCTTTTTTCACTGTTGATTGTCTTTCCTTGAAAAGACAAAAAGGAACATTTTAACACATTATATAATGCTATACAACTGTAACTCACACTGTACCTCCACAAAGTTGTTTTTTTGACTAGCAAGTAATGTCAGATTCTGCTTTAATGAAAATGAGATCTCAATCAAGTTAATACACAATGTCTGGCCACTTCACATAACATCTATCTATGTGCCTGGACATTCCATAATGACTCGGCAATAGATGGATGAAAAGTGCGCAGTCACAACACAAATTAATGCAATGATGTGAAAAGATAATCTGACATTACCAGGGTGCCATTCTGAAACTTAAAAGCCAATCATCCAATATACTTGATTGTTTAATAAGCATATTGATAAGAGATCAGTAATTTTTCAAAATTTTATGCTGACTGCTAGCAAAGATTGGATGCTTTAGAGTGCTTTACCACTTAGGCAAAATATACCCATTCTAAATAAACCATGATCAATTAGCTGAGTAGCTTTTTACAAAACATATTTTCTATCACAAGGAAACCAGAATCTACATCAGATTCTAAGCTGTTGGCAACTTTTGATGCTGATACACAGCACAGTGAGATGGTTATTTGAAAGAGAAAAACTCAGTCTTATGTTGTTGCAATTGTATTTTCAACTGTTATCAGGCCATTTCAGATAACTCTGCATGGAAAAAAGTATTCTCATTTTTTGTATCTCATTTATTCTATTTATGAACTGCACTCAGCATGTCCTTTTGGGTTGTCTAAAAAATGCACCATAAATTAAGACAGAAGATATTTATCAAACAGAATCAGTGTCTCCAATCCCAACTGCACCCCAGCCGCTTTCCACACTTCACAAGTACAAGGAGGCTTTAAACTAGCTGTGGGAATGGGCTGGCAAAGCTGCTGCACTAGAAAAGGAGCATGAAGGACATTGCTGCACCCCCTGCAACTCCATCCAGTAACAGTTCATTAAATGTTACCATTTACATTTCATACCAGGCCAAACCCATCTCTGTGCTACCTCCCACAAAGCCTTAGGGATTGTAGTAGCAATTAATCCATGAAACCCTTTCAGGAGCAGTTTTTACTGCTAAGAAGCACTGACACAGATTCTGTCAGGAAGGGACTAACTCCCAGCTTAATACAGTGCCTTCTAACACAAATGTGGACCCTGTTTTTATATCATCTTCAGTTTCTTTAAGTGAGACTGACAGGGTCTCAGTCCAGATCTGATGCAAAGAGTGGTCCAGGTCATCCTAGGCTATTCTGGGGAAGCCAAGTGCTTGGGGGAACTGTGACAGTCTTATACACACATTTTGTATAAAAGAATGGAAAAACCTATGCCCCTGGGGGAAAAAAAAAACAAAAAAACACCAAAAACAAAGTACACAAAACCAAGCAAAACAAAACCAGGGGAACCTACATTCTTATCTGCATGCAGTGAGATTCTAAGAGGTTAGTTAACAGAGCTCTTGGATGCTTTGAGTAATTTGGCTCGTGCAAGACTAGATCGAAGACACCAGACTGCAGTATCACTGCTTTAAGAGAAACCAGTAGAAGCAATTAGAGCTATTCACCTCCTCCCTAACCCTACAAACAAAAACACTCTATGTATCACTGCCTAAGAAATCACCAGCTCTGCACTTACTTATTTGATTATTTATTCAGAAAGTAGAACCAGGATGAGACACTCAAAGAAAATAAAATTTTTGAACTAACAGAAAACATTTTGTACAATGGATTGGTTAGTCCCAAAAACAGCAAGTAAGACACTTCCATATGAAGGAAGCTTCACACTTCATTACAAATTTCTTAAGTTGCTCTGAGGTTTTAAACAACTTTGTGAATAATTATCCTTAAAAGTCACTACTTCTTATAAAAAGAAAGCACACCCTCTTAAATAGTGGCCAAATCTGACTCATGAATACTGCAACATCTTCAAAAAACAAATCATATGTCAGCAAAGGAGAGAAAAAGCTAGTAAAAACTGTAATTTCTAACAAAAATCAGAGACAGAGAGAAAATTTGAAAAGGTCCAGGAAAATCTTGAGCTAAAGGACAGATTTGTGACAATTCAAAGAAAAAATTAAGCAAAAGTAACAGACTCAGCACACTGAGTTTGCACATTTACAGAGGTAAAAAGAAAAAATGTTCAGAAGAGGCCTACTTATAAAGTGTGGCACTAAAAATCTTCTTGAATATATCATGCTACTATTTAGAGGAAAAGTATTTACTCATTGCTGAGACCCATGCCCAGACCCAATGTTACTAATGACTCAAGTAAAATGCAGTAAGGATTACCCAGAGCAAAGTTTTGGATATTGGGGTGATACAAATAGCAGCATGATACAAATGGCAGTAAATAACCTCAGCTGGCATCGTCCTATGACTGCGGCATTACCATTCCTTCTCCAGTTTATATTTCCAACCCCATAAGTAAAACCATTGCTTGATTCACAAAGACAATACAAGATAAGGTCATGTATCTCAGGTAACATAAAGGAAAAAAGAATATTCATGATACAGAAGTGCCTAGAGTGTTAATATGATCAAAGATGGATACCTGGCCTTATTAACATTGAAACTCTGCTTTCTTCTTTGATGATTTTTGAAGAAAGTACAAATGAAGTATTTCATATCACCCATCTTATATGATACCACAATACATGTCACCATGTCTATCAACAGTGCTCTGTAAAACCTTTCTAAAGAAGCTGACAAGATATTCTAGGTTTCCTAAAGTTACAGATCCTATAATTTTTAGATATATGTCCTACTAGTGAGAATTTGACTTAGTTTGTATGACATAATGTAATGAATTGCATAATAATTCTAATGAATGAATCTGTTAATGGAACACAAAAAAAATTACCACTTCTTTTTTTGTAAATATTCTTGTGCAGACCCTTTCTTTTATATATGAAATACCAGTTGTGCCTGACCTAAAGTATCTTTGTTTTGGGAACTAAAACATTACTAAGATATCAGAGAGTGTCAAGAAGCAAACAATTTAAAGCAGATAAAAACAGAAGAAGGTAAGAACAGATAACAGCCTAAAATTTCTAATGTTTAGAAAAATTTCACATGCATTGAAAAAATGCTTTTATAAAAGGCAAAAATTTGCCTTTCAGTTTAAGAAATATGTCTGTAACAGTTGTGGTATTTTTAATATCTTGCTAAATAAAGCATACAAAATGATGAATGTATTGGTGAACCATTTTGTTTAGTGAACATGCATGAGGTTGACAGAGATACTGAATACAGCAATTGTACATTTTGATGGCTTAAAGAATGAAAGTATTTGGAAGGCATGTGCCAGAGCACATACCTTCCAAAACAGAATTTACCACAACAATTCTTTCCACCCATTTTTTTTGCACTTCTCATGCCTTACTTTCCCCCTTGAAGTCCTACTTTGAAGTCAATATTCATTAGCTGGAGCATCTACCATTGAGGCCAGCTCCAGCGAGATCACTGCCAGATAAGAACTATTCAATTACATCTATTTCATATTCCAAATAAGAGAACAACTGACAAATAAGACAGGAATTTCCAAATAATAACGCAGAATATCCTCTCTAGATTTTTATTTTCAGCCCCAAAATGCACTTCATAGCAGAAAGAATGTACAATATCATGAACTGTTAGTACTCGAGCACTCGTGGACGCCTCCTGCTACGCACCTCAGGGAGCAAACCTCCTAAAGTGGGAAGCGTCTGTTGGAAAAAGAGAATGTTAGGCTGCAGCACCAAACAGCTGGCATGGCAAAGGGCATGGATAGGGTGTGCACAAGGAATGCTACCTTGCAGAATTACACTTAACAACAACACATGCACGATACTTTGTTACACTTTTGTACAAGTGGACTTGATGGATGCTCTGGCTGTCGTATTACATAATTTACACTCTAGAAAGTATATGTGAGATCATTTTGGCATCAGCTAACAATCTTAGAAAACCTGTGAACTTCATTCTTTTGATAGCAAAAGAGATATTTGATAGCTGGAGGGCTATTTTGATTTTATCTTCAAAGTCTTTGAATTCTAATCCAAATCAAAGAATCTTGTTTAAAAAGTCTTTTTCTAATTGTATTGCTACAATTAACAAGCTGTAAGTCATTATTCCTCAAAAGTTGCTTATACTCTTTCTTTATATAGAGGTCAAATCTTTTCCTTTACACAAAACACTCACATTTAGAAATATCATACTCTATTATAGCTGTTAGAGTGGAAACAAATGAATAGTTACTAAAGAGCTGCCTCTTTATATTTTAATTGCTGACATGGAATCCAGGGCAAATACAGCAACAACTGCTTTTTCTCACCTTGCCTAACTACAAATATATTTTCTCTGGATTATTTCCTACACAAGATTATTTCAATCAATGTATTTCATAACATGAAACAACAACTTACTTATACATTACATAGGATTGCAAATTCATTAATGAATGCTCAATTATTACACAGTTAGACAGCTTAAAACCTGAGATTACTTCTGTATGATAATTTCTTCTTTTATCATATATATTTTGAAATGAAACATATAACCTATTTGGGCATGGAGTTGTATAATGAGAGAAGTATATTTTTAGGTTACTATGCAGAAAATAAAATAGCTTAAAAAAGTTTAAAAAATCTTATTCTAGACCTCCAAATCTTCATAGAGAATCAGATGAAATGCATGCAATACCTCAAATGTTTGCGAGATGAAATTTAAATATGTGACTTGAATATCAAACTGGTGCTTTGGGCTTCTTTACAAGGAACTTGAAGGAAGGGTGCTCCATGATTCCTTGGAGTTATTTTGTTTAATGACACAGGAATCTTTAAGGACATAGTAATATTAGGTACTCCTAGACTGTAATTTTGCAAACCTATATGGCATTCAAGACCCTACTTACAAAACTCCCATTTCAGGAAAATTCTGTCCATAATTATACAATGACCAAAGAAAATTAAGATTCAAAAATCCTGAAAACTAAAAAAAAAAACAAACACATCACCACTATGCCAAAACCACAGGGTAGTATCTGTAGTATCTATTAGATATCACATCCAAGTAACGGTGATTCAGATGACCTAAAACATTTTGATAATTTATTTTATAAATTATCCACATTTCCAGCTCTGAGTGCATGCTAATCAAAAGAGCCTATATTAGAACACCACATCATGCTGTCTTGAAAGCTCATAGAGCTGTATCACAATATCCAGCTCTAAATCCCTAGACAGAAGCTAAAAGTCATCTTGTGGACAGGATTATTAACCAATTCTCAGCAAAAATACCGTCCAGTGAGCTGCACTTGCCCATACTATAGAGGCTTCTAATTAATTTAAGAGCTGTCTTAAGAAAAGCATTTGCAGCTCAGGAAAAAATCACATCACACCATTGAGAAGGAAGCATTTTGTCACCCATTATACTGGTAGCCAAAATACCTGCAACAAGACAAGGCTGGAATGGAGAATACGTGTTTAAGAATAACTTCTAAAACTGCTTATTGCTCCTTCTTCTGAACAAGGAATAACTATGTGGTAACTTACATACTTTGTGCTCCTTTTTCAGTTTGTCTAAGTAAAAAGGTAAAGAATTACACACCAAAACACAATCAAATCTCTCATTTAGCTCGTGGGCCTTGGTTAATTCAGTTTTCTGTAGACAACTTGCCTTACATCTTGTACCCATTCAATACACACATCAATATATGGCCCAAGATCTTCCGCTGGATTTGCAACTCCAGATTGGGCTACAGCAGCTGATTATATACACTGTCCAAGAAAGTGTTGGAAAACAATGTTGAAAATAAAATCATATTAAACTCCGGGGGGACAGGATATAAGGAATAAACTTAGAAATAGACAGTAGTGATGAGCTGGGGGCAGGCAACTAGATATAACTTACAATGATTGAATGACTGCCATTTCAGTTTATCAGCATCTTATTATTTCAACACTGAACTGTGTTTGTTGAACAGCTAATTAGTTAGGAAGATACATTTTCCTCCAGGGCAATTATTAATTTCCTTCTGACTTCAAAGAAATGAAAAAGCTCTTAGCGTAGATAAGGACACCATTATATTTCAAGTCTGATTTAGATTCTCAGAGAACTGAAGCTGCAATATGAAACACAATAGAGAAGCAAAAAAAGTAGTTTGTTTTGTTTTTTAAATCTCTTTCAGTTGCTATGTCATTACTTAATATTCAACAACCAGATCTAAATTCAACTTCCCCCCCCAAGCATATATATTCAAATAGCTACTTTTCTGTAGTATCTTTGTTCAGAAACTCAGGATAAGGCTAGTACTCAACTTCAAAGGATTGAGTTGCTCATAAAATGCTTACACACTGCACTGACTTTCTGTGCTCCATGTTGAGCTTCGATTCAATTAAGCTAAAACTGATCTCTACCATTATAAAAACAGAAGAATCATTTCAGGATTAATAACTGGAAAGGGGATTAAGAAAGCTCATTCTTCAACCAGGCACTGCTAATTCCCTTTCTCTCTACAACTCCGCTTTCCTACATGAATAACGTCTACATACCTCACAGGAAAATAGCATTAGTAAAACACATTACCAGACATGGAAAAAATATCTATTGAACTATTTTGCAATTATAGCCAATAGCTATTCTATGTGGTCTAAATACTAATAGTGAAATAAAATTCTTAAACAGTATTTTTAATTTTAATTCTGTATTACTTTTTGTCAGAATGTCAATATACCTGCCATATTTACACAAAAGTTTGAAAGTATAGGTCATAATGCATATTGAGTAAGTTAAATAAAGCACATTTCCTATCTCAAATATGTGTAATCTGCTGTGTATAGTTCTGCATACCTAAATAGAACTTAAAAAAAAAGATTTCTGAACATTCATGGTTTTGTATAACAAAATACCAAAGGAATCAGATATATGTTTTCTCCCTCCAACTGCACAGTCATCTATGTTTTAAAATAAGAGGTCAAGTGAATTTGACTTATGAGGGTATTTTATATTTGTGTATATAAAGAGATGCACACTATGATGTATAAAAAGTCTATGCATCTTATATATACCAATTTAGGTCTGAATATATAGTCCATATTTACATCAATTGTATTTACACTTAGATGACTTTGTCCTAAAACATCTTCACTACCCAAACAAAAGTCAAATTCATTCACAAGACAAAAGAAACAAAATGGAAATAGTTTCAAACTTTTTATCATGATGACCCATTTTTCACAGAATGCAAAACAATGAAGTTGGATATCAAAACACAAAGAAATGAACCCTGTTTTATTTTTCTTTTCATTCTTTACATTCAATATTATACCATAGCCTCCACCTTTGAAATAAACTGATTACTGTGGAGACAGTGATATTTGTCATATAATAATGCTCACATTTCAAGCAGGGTATCTTATGCTTTTCAATTTATTCCTTAATTTTATTTTAATTCCACAATTAAATGTTTTAATTAAAATTTAAAAAAAATAATGCTAGAAATTAAGTGAAAAAAATTCATTGAAAAACTCACATACACAACAGGAGAATCAAAACCAAGATGCATTATGAAATTAATACACATTTTTATTTATTAAATAGTAATCTTTTATTGCTTGGTTTGTCACCATCCAGGGCTGTATCTGTTTTGGTGGGAAATTGAAAATCTAATTACTTTTCCACAGACATAAATAAAAATTAGAAGATCCTATATGTTCATCAGTAAATGGGGCAAAGTAAAGGCAGGCATGAAATAAAGACAGAACATATGCTAGCATTTTTCCCTTTCTGCCTTATAAAAGGAAAGGGTGAGGAAAACTGTCTCATAAGCAGAGACCAATCTTGCTTTCTCCACTACTCACTCATCTCATTCCAATACCCAGTTTTAAACCTGGTTATGATCTAATTCTGTACTCCTGGTAGGCTAGGATTCAATTGAGTTAAAGATTTTTAAACTCACTGCCAGTCAACCTTATCATGAACTTTCATTATGTGCATGTAATTAATTGGGTCCAATGAACAATATCAGTACTGAGTTATAGACTTTTTCCCCCCACCATATAATTAGAATATAATTACCCACAGGATATCAGAATGATGCAAAACCTTTCCTCTAAATGTGCCCTCATTAGGAAACAAGTCTCAATGTACATTTATTCAATCAGTATGAATTAATTAAAATGTTACTGAAATAAAAAGGAGTAACATTAAAGCATATCTGACATCTATTAAAAGACTATCACTTGAGATCTGCACACCGTTTATAACAAAACTCATTTAACTTGAATAAAAAACTTCACCCTACAACAAGCCTGATATACAGTAAACAGAAAAGTAAAAAGAACCGAAGTTCACAAACTACATTTTATTATAACACTTAAAATTGATGCAGTGAGATATGAAAAATCTCTACAAGACACTGAATCTAAACAGATGTGATGCTTTCATGATGTACACAGTGTCAACTACTGAGGTTCTCCATCGTTTTTTTCAGCTGACAATGTAGCTTATCATATTTAAGAATAACATTTGGAAAGCTCTATTTTTGTGCAGTTTGTAAGATGGGAGGACCTTTATTTAACTTAGATCAGCCATCTAAATTTCACATGACAAGGCATTTTGGTTCTCTCTCCAGCCACTAAGAGTCACTCAGCTGAGATCATTTTGGTAGCACTGGTATAATATATGGTGCTGTGAAATGCAATGTGTGAAAAAGTCCTTTAACTGTGTAGAAATTGTTGAGGCTGGACTCCACAAGAACTGAAGAAATGAGACATGAGACATGCTGGATAAGAAAGGAAAAAAAATATGAATGCCCCTGCCTCTGCAAAAGAGAAAAGATGAGAAGGGATTTAGCCTGTACCCTTGAAGAAAAACTTAGGAGAAGGCATCTTGTTCTGAGATTATTTCTGCAGTTTTCTGAAAGAAATCTTCCAAAGCTAGAGGTGGAAAGGAGGGCCAACATTTTTAGGAGATCAAAGATACAAGATTTTTCATCTTGCTGTTTTCCTTTTATCCTATGGGAGAAGAAAATATATTCTTCTCTGACACCTCAAAATACTCAAGGATACGTCTGGTACAGGCAGCATTATGGTTATCTGCTTTTATTTACCTTCCACATACACACAGCATTGCAAGAATATTAATGCTCAGCTGATCATTGAAATCAAATGTGTGACCTGGGTGAAGGACCCTTCCATGTATGTCAGAACACACAATTTTTATTAACAGACACACTTGCATGGTTAGACGGCTTTCACAAGAATCTATTCGCTGGTTTTGCTGTCCTTATTGAGAATGCTGGTCTCACATGCACTGAAGTATTATGTTTCTCAAAAGGAATCCCCATAACAGGAAATGGGAGACACTAATTAAAAAATTGCAAACACAAATCATATGTACACTATTACCAATCACTTTCAGAAGAAATTACTATTAGCTAGGTCAGTGAGGTAGTATTTTGTAACGTAAGTAAACTCAGGACTTTAATGCATTTTTGAAAGAAACTACTAGATGAAAAACTATACTATAAAATTATAAAGTCTCCCTTAAATCACAGCAAAATATATTTTTCATTCCAAACAATATAAATTGTGCTGAAATACATGTCTTGTGTTGCACTTGTCAGTAACATGATTCCAAAACAGGAAACCATATTTACTTCTGCTTATGCCTTGAAAATTTGGAGATAAAACAAACCTATTGAAGAGTGATTTGACTCTAGAGTGGTTCTACATATCCTCTACACAACTTCACTAAACTCCCATTGTGGCATGAAAATCTTAATTCCTCTATTCCTCTTCCTCTCCTGAAAAGAAAATGTAGTTATGCCAATATAACTGAAGATAAAATTTCATGCTGAAGGTTCATTCTGTTAATATGAAGGGCAAATGATAAATAACATCAATTTGAAAACAATAGTCCAATAACAGAACCATAATTTCCAGATGCAAACTTTTAAACTATGACCTCAAATCCTGAAAATCAAATAAGGTAATATAAAATATAATCATCCAACAAACTTAAAATAATATTTTATAACTATCAATCAGAACTTGTCCAGATAATACAAAAATGCCATAGAGACAAACTAAAAAGCCACTTTTGTGATTTAAAAATTTATTTTAAATATTTCATAAATATTAAAGGCAGGTTTCCATTGGATTCTTTCATTGAGAGCAACAGAATAGTTCCACTTTACACAGGTAGAGGGCCAAAGTCTAACATCTTTAGCTTAACAGATTTATAAACAAAACAGCCAAAAGGATTAATTAGAAAACAAGTAATTTACAATAGACACAAATATTAATCCAAATGATCAGCAACTGGTTTAAGATTAGGATGTATATTTTCTTTTTTGCCTCCCTTCAATAAATTACACTTTTCTGAGTTCAAGCATTTATTACACTTATTAGAAATATATTTAAAGAGGACCACTCATCTGTTCTCTTATGAATATGATGATGCTATGACTTTCATCAGCATAAAATATCCAATTTAATATGTGAAAACATAAGTTAATTCTCAAGCTCTTTTTTTTAATGATAAAATGGTCAGCTCTTTTCTATACAACCTACACACAGCATGCATTTTTATTTTCATTGAATTGAGTTATTGTTTTTGTGGACAGAGAAATTTACTGTCCACGACTGCAGAATAAAATATACTATAATGTTGATGCATAGCTTACTGCAAGACCAGTGCCATCATTCTAGGTAACCTCCGGCTTAGATCAGAGACCTCAGCATTGCAGATATACAATATGCATCCCAAGCAAAAACTGCCCATAAGAATAACTTCATTATTCTGGGAAGTTGGATCTATAAAAGATGTAAAATGTAGAAGTGTTCTGCCTATACAGTTTCTGGTAAGTACAGTCTGAATAAGTGATAAAACCTGAGTCAGCTTCAGTTATAATATGCCCTACTGAAGGTTCATTCTCACATGAAGGGAAATGCAATATGTAGAGGGTAAAACACACTTATGCCTATAAACCCATCAGCCAGGATTTCTTTCACATTGTGTTTAAGGTTCACACAGTCCTGTGAACTTAAATAACTGGCAGGCAGTCCCAGCAGCATTTTATCGTTGCATTTGAGAGAGGATTATATCTGAAATTAACATACAAACAACTCACCAATACTACTGGGCAGATTGACGTGGGTGGCAAAATATGGTCCTTCAAAGGTCCACAGTCACATTCAGGTTTCAGGTGTGAAGCACACTTGTTATGTAACTATATGAAGACAGAAAATGAAGATTCAACTTAGACATTTTTTTATTAGCATCAGAAAATGGGCATTTTAGAGGGGATGAGTTTGATTAACCTAATTGTTACTGAAGTTCTGGAAAGAAAACAAAACACTGCAGTAGAAAGCTCCCTAGGATGGACAAAACTAACATATTTGTATTAAAGTGAAGAATGATGGATTAAAGTATTTTTCAGTTTGGAAATTCCATGTGTGGATCAGCACACAAAATAAGAACATTGCACAGCAATACATTAACAGCAGCATACTGTTACTGGTCACCAAAAGCTTCATTTCAGGAGAGAGCTTCTTGCATTGAGCCAGGAACTTCTGTTCTACTACTAGTGAGTAATTCAAGGCAGCTTTTGGCAATATTGGTGTAACTCTGCTTTCTTCCTGAAGCTGATAGCCACTACGGATTCAAATAAAAGAGAAGAACACAGGAATATCCTACATTAAACTTCACTGAGTAAATTTTGGTCTTGATTGAATCAGCTTTCAGGCTTCCATTGACTGCTGAAGAACTGGAACTACTCTACTTTTTGTAATTCATGCTTAGAATTCATCCAGTTTTCTTGAAAGCAATGACAATAGCTCTACTCTGAAAAACATCAAAAGAATATCCTCAGGTCTGCTGACAGGAAGAGCATTGGCTGACTTCCATTTTGTTACAGAGGCTGAATGGACAAATGTGCATATAACAGGAACATAAAACGTTAACAAGTAATGATAAACGATGAAATATTTTGCACTAGCAATCAAGAGTTCCTGCTCATAATTTAGAATTTAACTCAATTCAAATTACTCTAAATATTCAGGCACACAGTACAAAGGCACAGTTGTGTGCTTGGATCATGCAAAGCATTCACATTTAACTAGTATATTTCACCACATCATTAGAGATAAAATAAAATTAATATTGTAAAATTTCGTGAAAATTTACTCTTTCTGGACTTGATGATCATAAAGGTCTTTTCCAACCTAAATTATCCGTATTTTTATCTATGTATAGATTCAATAAAATGCATTAAGGCATCCAGATAGCATCCATTTCCCTTAGAGATGGACATTTTTGAAAAGGTGTATATTTACAGTAAAGAAAAATAATCAGGCTAATAAATATCAGGAGTTGTGAGGTAAAAAATGTTACTAACAAGTGATTTATCGAGTATAACAGGTAGCATACAGTATTAGTTCAACAAGTTGAAAAGCTGTTACAAAACCTGTAGCTCAATGCCTGCATCTCTAAATCACATTTTTTCAATGACTGACTCATTTTCCTTTAAATGGTTTAACTCATATGAACTCTATCAAAATTGCAATAATATTGTACCAACTGCTGATATATAAAAACTTTATTGGTAATATGGTCTTCATAAAATTATCTGGTACAGTTAATTTTGACATGACATTCTGAATTTTGAACTGAACAACACCTAATATTAGTCTTGTCCATATTCATTTACAATGTAAAGTTACCTTTTTAGGCAGTTACTTAGCAACAGAAAATAAAAGTCTAAGGAGTTTTGATTTACTCTGAGTATTAAAGCCTTATTGTGAGGGTATTTTGGTAGCCCTGTAATCTAAATCATTTGTCATGCTAATTCTCTGCCTCAGTGGTAAGGCTACTTGTACCATAATTAATGCACACCAGGCCATGTTACATCAAATAAAAGTATCTTCACACATTCAGTGGTAATTAGCAGCTTTGCTACTCAGTGGCATGCAAACTTATCTAGGAAAAAATAGCTTAATCTTCTTATTAGTCTCTGCTGATCTCTGACAACAGAATTGGCACACAGCAAATAATAAAAGGCAGAAGAAACGTAGCTTTAATGAAAATAACACTTTGACACAAATAAACAAAATAATATGCATGTATCTCAAAAAAAAATATTTTAGCGTGTTTCATATACATTTCCCCAAAACGCCCTTATCCTACACCTATCTCTTGTAGAATATTATCTCACCCACAAACCTGCAAAGCAGGAAGAAGTGTATTTGCTGGAGAGAAGATGAGGGGGAAAAAAAAAATCTACATTACCATGGTGGAGAACTGCAAATTATATGGAAGAAGGATCATGGATTTGGCTGAGAAGTCAGTATAACAAGGCTCCTTAGTGAAAAACATCTCTAAATTTTGGGACTTAAGTTATTTGACTCAGAAGTGACCTTATTAAGGTGTGAGGATAGATATATTAAAAAAGCATGAAAGAGGCTCAGAATTAACTCCATAATAAAGAGCATCCCCTTCAATTATAAGCTGTGAATGTGCAGTACTAGGAGTTGAAAAACACATGAAGGATGTAATCACAATGATATAACCTCAGAATATCCATTCAAAAATCACACATGTGTTAGAAATTCAAAACACTTTTTCTGTAATAAAGGTATTACTATTAGAAAATGAAGCTATTGCAATAGAATAAATCAAGTGAAGAGAACTGCAAGTGAAAAGGAGTTTGAAGTATAATTTGCAGTATTTAAAAATATTCATTCTTCACTCATGTCTAATTCACATCTGAATCTATAAAAAGAAATAAAATATTTCTAAATTTATTTGAAAATAAAAAATTGCTTTTAAAAAAGGCCTTTAAATTACTGATGGAAATAAACTGAAAAATTGCAAACCTTAGTGCCAATATTTTTAACTTCAACTGTCAAAAAAGCACGCACCCATTTTTAACTGGAACCCTGACAGTTACTTAGGCATTTAAATAAGCACACAGGCACCCAAGACATTTTCAAAAGAATTCAGCATTTTCCTTTAGAGTGATTTCAATCATAAATAATTCCTCAGTACTTCTTCAGTGAGTAACAGATCTTATGAAAATCCTTTGAATCTTGATGTACAACTTCGAGGAGTGAAAAACCTTTACAAATCTGGTCCAAATCCACATGAACTGATGGGAAAATAATTTCTACTGAGGAAAGATGGAATCTGCAACTTCCTTTGACTTTAGATGTCAACATATGTTACATAATATATATTTCTTGAATTATACAGACATATTAGGTATACACACTTGTACATCTACAGCAGAACACCCTTATTTTTCTTGCTAAACACATATACCATTGTCTAAGTTTAATTTTCTACAAGCAAAACATTTTGGATTGGTTGCTTTACTCTTTACATAAATTATCCAAATTTTGACAGCAATCTGGACTACATATTTGCTTTCTTCTAAAATATTGTTTTTAAGTAATCATAACAGCTTATCACTGAAAGCATCCTGGATCTGTTTTCTTTGATGATGTTTCATATTTTGTATTCTTGTGTTAAGAAAATATGTCATGAAACATCCAAACTTTTACGTTTAAAACAAACATTCACTAATGTCTCAGCCTCATATTATTATTTAAAGCACTGAACAAATAACTGCTGTTCCGTAACAATAATAATAATGATATCAGCAAAACCAGCAAATACACACGAAGAAGGCTGAAATCTCTCCCCATTTAGATTTAAATCTTGCCCTGGCTAGAAACAGAAATACTGGCATTGCTCCTTCTACCATGAAGATCTCACTTATAAGAGCAGTGTTCCCTGAATGTCATTAGTTCCAGTTACTGGTTCCTGCTGAATAAGGAGTGCACAAAAGTTGTATATATTTGACTTGGTGCACAGATTAGTATATTATCAACTTGTCTCTGCTATTATTCCCAGACACTTGGAATCACTGTATCCTACTAGATGTCCTCAAATTCATTTGCCCGTCAGTACATCACCAGTTAGACCTAGTGTCACAGTGACCTTGATTTTTCCTGGTACTGAAAACTTTCTTAATCTTTCTGCAGTGAAGATTGGGAATTCTGCTCTTTAGTGGCACACATTATTTTCATATGGATATTGTCATGAAGCAAATTTGCTTCATGATATACTGAAGTAAGCATTTCATTACATGAAATAAGCATAATTACTGGCTACAATTAAGAAGTCCTAAGAATACTCTGCATACCATTCCTTAAACACACACCAGTCACTGCTGATGACTAAACTGAATGATACATTCCAGATTAGGAGGCTACAGAAAGACATTCAATGATTTTTATCTCTCAAACCTGTGTGAAAGGTTTTACTGTAGTATACTCACTGTAATCTGACACCAAACACAGTGAAGTCCAGTCAAGCCTTGGTAACACTTGATAGTTTTGTGACACTTATCACATTTTGTTGGACAGTTTCCTTCTACCCAAAAATGGTGCATTACCTGCAAAAGAAAAATGTGGATATACATAGAGTTACTAAATTAACAGGTACATGGCAGAGCTAATGCTACCCCAAACTTACATCAGTATTCTTTTTAGACTTCACATATGTTTTGATGCAAGATGCAGGAGCTCTGGAGACGCAGCGTTCATGGACTGTATACTTGCAAACTGAAAAAAAGAAAGACGTTATTAGATGTTGAGGCAATGGTGTTTCTCACTACATTTCTATGAAACAAATAACATTACCAGCATGTCATCTCTAAGTAATCAATCCAATCAGTCAATGAAAACTCAAACTAGACTGCTTTTTCCATGGAATACAAAAGGCCAATTAGAACAGGAAATATTATGCAAGTGAGAAATCCAAGAATGCACTATCATTGCATAACAGGAAATGCTTAATTAAATCAGACCTTACTAAATTTTTTCACAATAACTCCCAAATGACAAAAATATTGAAGACAAATTGGTGACTGCCAAGTGGTTTGTGTTATTTGCTAGTAGAAAAAAAACATACATTTTACCAACTATAGGCATGAGAGCAGCTGGCAAGCACAAAAATAAAAGCCAATGAATTTACGTTGTTTCTACCATTGATTTATAAATCAGAAATGGCTGATTAGTCCATTTTTTAATAGCAATTGTTTCCATGCATTCCATGTAATCACCATAACTTTGAGTCCTGTTTTACAAAGTACCAACTCCTGAGAAGCTTTTTTTTTTTCCCTAAGCCCTCCTACACTAGTTTTAGGTAACTGCTATCGCTGACCAGGTCTTTAAAGATCATGCTATCTGCATTTGGAAAACCTACAATGCAGGATACAATGCAAAGCTCTCCTGAGTTCAATGATACAATTGTGCCAAGATGAGGAAGTAATGCTACAGCTTATGCCTGCATTCAATAGAGTCAACTATTCAAAACTGAGAATGAATTTCTCCCTGCATGGTATATGTCTCAGGCTTTTGACCTCGAGAGCAATTAAGCACAAAGTACTTCTAAACACCTTGCTTGCACCTATTACACAAACCCAGTGGGAGGCTCAGCCATTAATCAGACAAACTGCAGGGAGTAACATTGTTGATTGGACCATGGAGGGATGGTGAGGACCCCTGTGGCTCCCCCCCTTTTTTTTTAACTCCCACACAATCTAAAATGCAAATAATGAAATCTATAGCAATGCTTTGAAAATATACTGGAGAAAAAGCTTAGCTAAATAAGGAAATAGTGGAATGGTTTTGCAAGTAGACTCAGGCTCTTGCTGCATGAAGTAATTGAAAGGAGCATGTTCTTCAGACACTGAGACCACTGTTCTCACAAAATAAATGGCTAGCACAACAATAAATACATTCTCAAAAGACACTGCAGCAGAAAAAAATTACAAGCCTTGCAAGGCTGGTCCTTTCAGGACAGGCAAGGTAACTGGTCTACCCATTTCTGGTAACTACTGAAGGTGATCTACACTATTTTCTAAACAGAACTCTCTTGGTCTTAGTTCTTCACAATAACAGTCTGACAAAAAAGAATATTAAAGCATGTAACATTTCAAAATCTAATAGTCAGATCAGTATGTGATATATATATTCCAGTTACTGTTATCAGCATTTAACAATGTCAAGTTGTTCAATTCCTATTTGTTTGAATTTTAATAAATGTATCTTTCCCATTTCATAGTATGGTGAATGAAATTATATTATGTGAAAATGCATACAAGAATTTACATCCAAATTATATTTCAGAGAAGTCTGTGGCCCCCAGAGGAGAGGAATGTTCAATTCAAACCCCTCATTCATTCAGACTAATCTTGAATTAAATCAATAGAACGGTACAGGCAGAAAGGTTCTCATCACCTGTGAGGGGCTATCTTTCATACCAAAAACAGTGAAAGGCAATTGCAGTAAGTTGCAGATTATTTTACCAAAAAGAAAAAAAAAAGGTGACTTGGTACTGTCATGAGAAGAATACAGCTGTGTACTAAAGTTCTTATTAATCTAATGGAGCCGGGCATAACATGAACCAACCACTGGAATCATCCACCAGACATCTTCAAATCAGAAAACAGGTCTTAAAAAAAGATCAATGACTGGAACATGACACAAAAGGAAGATATGGATCTTCCATTTCTGGAAACTTTCAAATGGAGATAAGGTACCTTTCAGCAAGCCTTGGTTTCTCAAAGACATGTTAAGAGGTGGTGAAGCACAGGTGATTAGGAAATGCATAGATACTGCAGTTTCAAAGAACTGAAACGTAGTAATGGCATCTAATAGCCTAATGAAAGTTAAATTAAATGCAGTAGCTTTTCTGTGCTCCTTTTCTTAAAATATATAATCAGTGAAATACATGGATTGAGATTTATGACTACAAAACCAGCAACTATACAAAACTTTAGAACTGTTACAGAAACTTGATTTCTGGAAACTGGAATTTTCACCTTCATCATTAACAAAACAATTCTGTGCAAAATTTCAATTAGAAACCACAGGACTTAGATCTTTGTCAAGTTGATACCTATGGTACAAAAATTAGTAAAAACAAAAGAGGAGTAACAAAAGTATAAAGTTAAAACCTAAGTCTGATACTCTCTAATAAAAAATAAAGCAGCAATAGCAGTAAAGAAAAAAAGGGCAATGGACTCCAAAGGGATCTAACAGTGATAACCCTTTGAAAGCAGAAAACTCCCTCAAACACCACATTTTACAGCCAAATCTCTTGAAAAACTAAAAGAACCATGGGCACTTAAGAAGAGAAGAGGAGGGGGAGACACTACTGTGGTGGCAATGATTTTGTAAGGGGATGCTATTAGTTCTTTGCTACACAGCAAGACCAACATTTCTAGGAACAGACATGCAAGCAAACGGACAAACGGACATGGAAATGCTCGTACTCACAAGAACAGCAGAGACCTTGCTTGCCCACTCCGATCAGCATGTTCAAACAAAGATTACAGTAGGCAGGCTTGTTGAAGTGTTTCAATCTCCATACATGCTGCCCATCATCTTTCACATTCTGCACAGGACATAAGAGAAACAGATTTCACTTAATAAAATAAACAGTGAAATATATAAGTGCCAATAAAAATTGGTGATTTACTCAAGAACATAAAAGACAAGCTGTTACTTCATTTAAGACTCGGCACCAGATCATAGCATAATTATTCTAAATACACAGGCAATGATATAATAAAAAAAATTCTTCAGAAGCTCATGGATATCCATGTGTTTCAAAAACAACTCAGAAAAAAATCTAAAAGGCTGCTGTCACCACTGCAACACAATGATATAAATACAACTAGGCTGATATTAAATTACAACTCGTATTAATTTTTTTCCCTAGAATTATCCTAAAATTATGGTGCTGTAGGTCAGAAGATAAAACTCCCCAAAACAAATAACAGAAAGGGTTTTCTAAAACCACACAAACATTCTTAATGACTGTCAGAATTAGTTACATATATCATATAAGTGAAACAGGAAAACCAACCATACCACATTGACTATTCCCAGCATTAAATTAAGATAATCTATACTGCCAATTATCTATCAAAACCCATGTATTTAAGGGTAAGATTTACATCTTAGGCCTCTTCTCCAAGAGTTTTACATTTAAGGTAAATTTTTTCAGTCAGCTGTTGCACTATTCTCAAATCTTTCATGAATAAACTGATCAACTCACTGGCACTTACTACATAGGGGCCCACTGTAATTTACGTGAATCTCTAAAATATTATCAAATCATTCATTTTATGAAACTAAGCTTTCTGTTGGATGATTCTCCTCTTCCTTCTTCATGGAATCCTTCAGGGGCCTTTCTGTTTTTTGAAGGTTTAAAAAATTATGTGCAGTTGGTACAGACGCTAAATTAATCCTGTAAACTCCTGGCTTCTTGGCAATAGTGGCCATGAGGCTTTTTCCTTTCTAAAATCATCAGAGGTTTTGATTCTAAAAAAACCTAGATTAACCTAACACAATACCACCAGATTTTTTTAAAGAAACCCTAATTTCTCTTTTACCAAATATAACATCCAATGGAACACAGACAGTTAATGTCCATCAGCTGTTTCCTTGTGTATTGCTGAAACTGTATAGTCTTCTTGGTCATGTCATTGCCGAAAAGAAACTGCCATACAGCTAAAGCAAGTCACAGCAATCTCTGTTTCTCAGATACCACGTCAGCAGCTGGTTCTTACCCAGTTTCTGATTTCTCAAATCAAACTACTACTACTTGTCATCACGTATACACACGATTCCTGACTAGATTTTCAATAATATTATATTTTTCACTGACAAGAATAGTCAATGTACATTGGTGAGCATAAATGTTAATAAAAATTTAGCTTCGTCCTAAATTAGCGTAAACTGTATAAGTTAAGTCCTTCAAGAATCCACATTTCTCTGTTCTAGAATTAGAAGTTGATGCAAATCAAATACAATGAAGACTTCATCATCCTTGTGGGCAAAAAAGAAAAATCCTGAAGCAAAATCAGCACTCCAAGAAATTAAGAATGTTTGGCTCAAAGCTAGGTCTAAGCCAGAATATAACTTTGAAAATTTCCTACAAGTTACCTAGGAACAAAAAAACCTGAAGTCCATTAAAATGTACCTTTTTTCTCTAGTATATCAGGATCAGAGCATAAGTAATAGCTGCCCCAATATTACGAGCAGGAGTTCAAATGCCATCTCTGACAGCTGGGCAATGTCAGGGTCCCCTTTCTGCAGCAAAAGCACAGCAGATGCCTAATGTGGGATTCTCAGGCTGGCAAAGAGTGTGGAAGTTTTCCAATTTCCCCTGAAGAAGCAGAAATAGATTCTGCAGCTGTGAAGCACTAGAAGCCTGTCAAGCTCCTTCATGACTGGCAGCTGAAGAGGATGTATTCCATTAAACAGAGCTCTCTAACTTCTATTTTTCTTCTCATCTTACTATCATATTCCACACATTTTTGAATTATTGTTAAACTACAATATAGTATGTGAATTTCAAGCCTTCTGAAAGTAGGCAATTATTCATTAGACAGCAAAGACCATATAAATCCTTCTGAGGAAAAAACAGCAGACAATGTACACTTCAATTTTAACATCACTCAGGTCATCAACACATAAATCATAAACCACAAGCACTTAAAATGTAAGCTGACCAGCCCTACTTAGCAAAATGCTTGCTGTTTAGGAAAATTAACAGAAATTCAAACTTATGCATAAACTTCCCTCTCTTCCACATTAATTTTGTAGTACTTTTTCATTTTAATTTCATTTTTAAAGAATGACCATTATATGTGAATATGTCGCTTCGTATTTGAACAGAACATATGGTCTAACTTAGCTGGCATTTTCCTTATCAGAAAAACAAACAAGTCTTGATGTGGGTGTTCTGCCAATTAAAACACTTAGCTGTGTTACAGACTGCAACTGATGCAAATCCATTACATAAACACAATGCACTTTTGGAAAAGAGCAAATTAAATTTTTGCTCTTGTGCACTGCCAAAAATAAGCAATAAAGTCCTGCATATGATTATGTATGCACATAACTTTTTAAAACACTGCCAAGAGAAAAAAAAGAGACATAATATGAAACAAAGCCACCTCAATGCAAGTCTTTAAGTATGAATAAAATCCACAATTCTGACACATCAGTGCATTTACTGACATTAACTCGTTTTGCTTCCATATCCTGAGAAAGAGTTTAAAAACAGACATTAAGATCGCAAAGCAGGGCAGGTACAGTAAAAATCTCTTCCTCACTTCATTTTACACATCACTGAAAATCAAGCCTCCATATGTCATACCCAGACTTTTAAACATAATGACAATAGTAACATTTATTTTGTTAACAATGGTTCTCTTAACTCATGGTCCTGACCCTGCTACCATGGATTTGACTGCCAAAGCTACCTGACCTTAAAAAGCGTGTCAACCATAAAAGAGCCAACCTTAGAACTAGTGGAAAATTTTATGCTATCCGACTTTAGCTACACATCCCTAACCTAGTTTAATATTAACTTATGCCAGCTTTTTAGATATTTGTAGATATTGTATAATATATATGTAGATATCTGTGAATATTTAGATATGTGTAGAAGGTAAACAAAGAGATCTTCAAGATTCTAAGACTTAAAAGAAGTAATGAAATACCTGATAAATTTTGATCCCAGTAAACGTACCCTCTTAAAATAGCTACAGAGCATCTAAAATACCAGAATATTCAGTTTTTTTCTATGAGAAGAGTTAGGAACAAGCATCCAAGTGAGAAGGATATCATGGAGAAGCTGTTATTCTTTCACTGATTTGTTTCCATTTATTTTAAAAATATTTGCTTGACTTGTTCAAGACAATTTTATTATTGATTTTTAAGTATTGTTCCATCAGTGGGAAGGTGAGAAGAGTTTCCATTAATCTATGCAGTAAACACAGATTAAAACAAATGTCATTACATTCTATACTCTTTGGTTGGCTCTTAGCAAACAATTGGTATCACGTTTTGCTTCGTTCAATTTGCTTTAGGAAGAAAGGATTTTAAGTCTGTTTTTGGTCAAGTGGAGAGGGAGTAATCTGACTCAAGGGACACACTGTTTGGGATGGTCACTCCTAATTTCTGAGATACTGTGTATGTGCACGTGTTTGAGAAATCAAAGCAAAAATCTTCTACAGCCTTCATCCCTTCACTCATCCAGAAACAGAAAAGGGAGCACAGGAGGGATAATTAAATGGTTTAAAAAAGCTTCATAAATAGCCACAGTATAGAGTTGCCCTGTCCAAAATCTATAACCGTCTGCCATCTGCAGAGACTTAGATGCTGCAGAAATCAAGTTGTAAATAAGGGTAAATCTGTATACCTGCGTGAAACACCATTTATTTTACACCCTATACACAGAAGAGGTTAGTTACTCCTTACTTTTCCCGGGTTTTTTTCAACTTGGAGGGAAAACAAAAGGGAAAGCGGGGCTGTGGTAAGGAAAGGCATTTGCGAAGTTGCCGCAGGGCAGCGCGGACAGGGCCGGGCCGAGCAGCGCCTCGGCTCCAGCCAGCGTGCCCTCCTCAGCGGGGACACCGCGCCCTCAGCGGGGACACCGCGCTCTCATCGGCAGGCACACCGCACCCTTCGCGGGACACCGTGCCCTCATCGGCGGGCACACCGCGCCCTCATCAGCGGGGACACGGCGGCCTCTACGGGCACACCGCACCCTCAGAGGGCACACCGCGCCCTCAGCGGGCCCTGACACCACAGCAGAGCGGCACAACAGCTCCTTCATCCCTCACGGGGACTCTGCTTCCAGCTGGGAACGAGCTGGCACAAAGGGAGCGAGCTACAGCTCAGGGGGCTCGAGTGTGCCGTCCGCCGGTATGGAAATAGCGCACAGTGCATCGGAACTTCGGCCTTCCAGAAAACTCAGACTTCAGAAAAGACTTACAGAAATGTCACTCAAGACAAAGAAAGGCTTGACTGTCTTTCTTCCTCGCTGAACAAAAGAAATTGAAGTCTATGAAACTGCCCAGGTGTTGAGGGGTCATTTCAAGCTCCGGCTTGAAGGAATTAATCACGGTGTAACAAATGTTTGCAGGTCTCTAGTTTGGTTCCATTTTAACATACAACTCAAGAAGCATGGCAACAAAAATGAAATATACACTGTAAGAAGCACTATTCCCAAGTGTGGACTCCCACTGAAACATTCTATCCCACATTTAATCAAAAGAGTTTAAAATTTATTTTTCATTTTTTGAGTACAATTGCATAGTATTTGCTGTCTGAGGATCCAAAGGAAAATTTTAGGAGCATATCCTTATGCTTTAATTGAAATATAGTCTCAATTCAACACAAATGTTTGTCCCACCAAAATTTACCTTGATTTAAAAGGTGAACTGGGTTGGAAGTTACAATTAGTGATTTAAAAGAAATATATATTTGCTTCAATTCAAGTTATTGCTGACTTTATGCAGCATTTGCAGGTTTTAAACTTCTCTCTCACCTTAGGGCAGCTGTGTTCAGCAACTCTACAGTACCAGGTACAGTGCAACCGTGACATCTAGTGGCCAGTGGAGAGGGAATAAAATACTTCCCTAAAATACAGCATTTCTTTAAACACTAGCACTTCTGAACTTGCAGTTTCTACTTCCTTTTTATGCTACCACTGACAGCAGTAATCATTTGTTACAGGAAAAGTGAGACCAAATATCTGGCATGCAATTACTCTAATAGAGAAATCAAGTGCTTCTATCAAATCATGGTGGAATAATATTGTACAACACCTACCAAAGAGCAGAGTACAATGCTTATGGCTGACAAAATCCATCATTAAGAAGCCTTTCGTGCACAGATTACAAAAGAAATTTTAAGTGATGCTAGGACAGTCAATGAGCTAACTCTTTACCTTCTCTTACAATGTTAATCTCTTTAAATTAATGCAGAAGCAAATAAAAATGTCAGAAACTTCAAAGGTTTCTACCGTGGAGAAGTAGAATAAATAGCCTAGTGTTCACTAATGTGCAAAAGAACACTTCCCAGAAGAATCAGGAGTACTGCAGGGGATGTCTCTGTCCAATTTCTGTTTGGGTGAGAGACTAACTATTGCCTTAAGATGTAAAAAAAAATTTGGAAGGTTGATGAGGACTGTGAAAACTCCAGACTGAAGTGTGACACTCAGCAAAAAATAGCTCATATATTTATTACTAAAAATTAAACCACATAATTAACAATTTCCTACATAGATAACATTTTCTTTTTCTTCACGAAATTCTCGCTTTACATGAGAATTTACATGAACTGAAAAAACTAAACATCAGAGTAAGAATTACTCTGTCTTAGCAACAAGGATTTCAATAGATGTCATATAGAACACATTTAGACAGTGCTAATGAGAAAAAGGGTAGTCACCCAATTACAAATGGATTATACATGTGTAATACAGCCAAGAGCTTTTCTTCTGAAACAAATTGCCAAATAGTACATGTATCTATCTCAGAACCCTTACAGAAAAAGAACCAATTAAGCTCTTATTTAAGTTCCTTATCTTGTATCCAAATTGCTCATTTAGAATATCAACTACCTTCAAAAGCACCAAAAAATCAAATACATAATTTCTATCCTGGAACATTCTCAGACACAGAATTCTGTATTTCTAAAGTCTACCTTCATAAGAACTCCAAAATCAAATCTTAGGAGGAAACAGAACATAAAGTCCAGCAAACTAAAACAAACTGGATATTAAGGTTGATTTCCTAGGGAAATTAGACTTTTTAATGCTCTTTGTCCCATTATCTTCATCACTCTAAACTGCACCAGCAACTTTTAAATTAGTTTAGTAATCTCAAATAAATTTGAAGGGCACTATAAATTTCATGGAAGTCTGAAAATGTTGGGGAGGGGGGAAGCAGAGAGACAGAGAGAGAGAGATTGAGAAAAAGCAAAAGGGAAATGAGGCAGATTTCCTTGTTAATTCTCTGACTTGGTAACAGGTGGCTGGTAAATGCTTGTAGTTACAGCCTAACACTCTTGTCTCTCTCTGAAGGGGATTACCGATAAGGTCAGGGGGCAAAGGCCACAAACCTGTGACAGGTTAGGCTATCTCAACCCCACTGCTCATAAACACTGGCTTGTTTATTCCTCTATTTTTAAATCATATACTTCCATACTTCACTTGAATGCTCCTTATTTTTAAATCATTCTGACTAGCATCTAATCATCTACCACAGCATGAAATAAAAACTGATTGAAAGGCTTTAAATGTAGTATAGAACTTTTCCATTACATCTGACCTTTGTATAGAGCTATTATAGGAAACTAAGGATTAAGTACAAACAATGTAGCTCAATTCTGGAAGTACTATGAAAATCTGCAACTGAACTAAATTATCATAGTTTCACTGATATTAGCATATCAAATGAGACCAGCTGAAAATCTTCATACAAGCTCTATACAACAGTCAAGTACATTACAGTGTTAATGGACCCCAACCCAAAACAAATTAAATATTCCACTCATATCATCATTTATTTAAATAAACTATAATGACAGTTTTTTGTCACTGTCATACTGGACAAGCTCTGAATTGATGTCTTGGATTTAAAATTTTTGTCATCACGAGTTCAATACAGAAGGTGACAGAATAGTTTGGTTGTGGGTTCTTCGTGGGTATGGGTTTTGTTAGGGGTTTTTCGTGGTTTTGCTTTGGAATTGGGCGGGGACAGGTTTTTTCGTTGGGTTTTTTCCCTCTGATTTACAACATATGAAGATTACTTGGACGTGTCTAAACAGCATAATCCAGTAGGTTATGCCCCTTATTTTCACATACTAATCAGTTTGAGGAAAACCTTAAGATTTTAGCACTTTTGAATTTTATTAGTGAGTCCAAAAGATTATTATCTTATTTTTCATTACCATAACTAAGAGGAAGTAGACAGACACTCAGAAAGCAGAGTCCTGGGAAGCTAGGTTTGCAAAATCTAACAATGGCATGCAAAAAGAAATAAGAGCATCCCACTAATGGGATTGATGCAATGGAATGAAGAGCTTGGATAATACATTAGATGCTGCAAAACCATCAAAATCATGCTATCAGTTTACACTAAATAACAGACAGGCATTAGTATTGATTTCACTTTTCAATGTCCTAAAATACAATTTTATTCAACTATGAACAAATGGAAGTAGTGTATTTTTGCTGGTTTAATGCTGGTTTAATTTTGCTTTTCTCTATATATAATGTGATGGTTTAATAAGCAGTTTTAAACATAAAAAGGAAAATAGGAGCCCTTTTAAAAGGCAGCATCTTGTCCTAGTGAATCATTAGAAAATTACTAGCAAATCAGCTCACATATAGGTAATGGAGCTTACATAAACTATGCTTATTGATAATAAGACATTTTGCATGCTATTATAGTATTTCTTCCACGACTGCACATTTCTGTCTTTTAAATGCATCAAATACTAGGAATACTCTTGATGACAGAAACACTGACCCATGCCAATAACAGATTGTAGAACTCTGAGCACTATTTATGCATTCTTAGTATTTCCACAGTAAAGCTATGCACAGCACAATAAATATCTAAAAACTAGTAAAAATATTCAAAAGGATAAAATGCTTGAAAACACAGCTTCTTTCTAACAGCTTTTGCTTTAATATGAAAATAAACTCTACAGAATGATCTGCATTAATTTATGCCATAATTTAGGAGTTTCAAATTAGGAAATGTAGAGACTGAAAAATACTCCCAGAACACCTATGCTACCTGTGATGAAAGAAAAATCTGTACTGAAAATCACTATCAGTTATCTGCTATGATGCTTGTTTCAGAACATTTCCAGGCCTTTGTTTAGAGTAATTCTGTGGAAATAAAAGAATTCACCCTGATAAAGATCTGCTTTTTTATGACAGTAATTTAACATTTTTCTTACTCCATCTCACATATAGAATTAAGGAATTAGTACTACAGTGATCCAGACACATTGAAAGTTGTCTTCAATTCAGATATTTTACTTGTAATTTAATTAATCAGATTTTTCAAAACATATCTCTTTCATTCAATAAACTCATTTGATACATATTCCCCTACACAAAGTATCAATCTGAGCATTCTTCATGCAAATAAAATAGCATAGAACAAATAGAGCAGTCTAGATTGCACTAAATGGAGAAAATAAATATTATTTACAATTTTCAATATGTGAAAATTAGTTAAGAAAATAGATTAAAAAGAGATTAAAAGGCTTTCTTTCGAATAGCAGAAATGCAGTTGAAACCCATGCTTCATTAGAGGAGTTCAAAATTAGCTCAAGTATAGGACAGCAGGTGGCACTGACAACATGCCAACCTTGAAACAGCTGCATTGAACTGGTAGAAAATTGATCCTACTACATCTGTATTACCTTTAACGTGAGGTTGTAAATGCAGAGAACATAAGCTCATCTTTCACAATACTCTGTCTGTTGGTGTAAGTGTCCCCCTCGATATTGCTTCTTACTATACTTTACTAATGTAGTTACAGAGACAGATCTTCATAGGGATGTATTATGACAGAAGATGAGCAACCAATAATTGCTGCAGAATCAATTCCATCTGCACACATGAACTAAAACTTTTTCCCTTGAGAACAATTAACACAAGGAAAGTTTGCCCACAGTACCGGTAGAATCCACCTCACTGGAACCATCCAGGCTTGACAGGGCTCTGATTGAGATAACTCAGTCTGTGGTACTGCCTTTAATTAGGGACTGGAACGGAAGATCCCCAAAAGTTCTTTCCAACCTGGATTGCTCTGTACTCAGTACTTAGGCCACACAACCCAGTACCATGCTGAGAAGCTTAGACACTACTCCAAGCCTGCTGTAACATATACATGGGCAGGAAAACACACTTAGCAGAAAATACTGCAGCTTGGAATTAACATTTTGTTAGCAGGAAAAATTATTCAGCTTTTTATAACTTCCAGCTCCAGAGCCAGCTTAGTAGGTGGTGCTTTAAACTTGCCGGTGGTTCTGTGGTGTTGATGACACTTTGTTCTTTGCATGTCATTCAGCCATAGTAAAGAGGAGTAAAGCAAAGTCATCCTTTATATAGGCCACAGAGAAACTAACCTGAAGGCCACAGTCAACATGTAAGCAGAAATTTAATACCTACATTTTCTAACCCAAGAAGGACCAAGAGTGGGATTGTTGTCATTCCTCCTTGGATCCACTCTTCCAGGGAAACAGTGCCATCATGATCATAGTCAATTTCTTCCATCATTTCATGAAGAATCTACAATTTAATGAAAAATCTCATAAGTTCTAATTTATTATTACTATATTCTAATACAGGAACTTGCTAGGACATGTGCAGATCTCCAATTTTCTCATACAAAAAATAAGAAAAATATTACTTGCATGGTAGCTGTAGTCAAACGAGCATAGGCAGTTCAGAAAATAAAGTCCCATACTCACATTTACATTTTATTAACACCTAAATGTCCCAAATCAACTTGTGTCCTTTGTGCACTCACTCTTAAGAAATTTTCAGAGACAAACCAGTTATGTTATGGAAGTTAATTATTACATTCACTGAACATTTCATAGATCAGATTTAAACAGCAAAATACCGGTAACAGTGCTAATTCACAATGCTAATTCATAGTGGAACACAGGCTTTTCTTATTTCTACCATACTCACCCATGGAAAGCCATGTGGATATGAAATATCACAAAATTATGATAGCTGTTTCTAGCAACATTAAAAAATTGTGGTCACTGGATACATACCGGGCTTAATTCAGTAATATCCCATTCAAGGTATTCTGCAACATGCATCATTTGAGCAATGATGTTTTCCAGCTCCTAGAGATGAAAGAAAATGCATGATACTTAATGCAAGTTTAAAAGAAAAGTTCTACTGCAAGAAACTAGTAAGTCAACTATATTGCATTCAGTGACACTATTTCATCAACATCCCTCATGAAATGCTCTTTTCACTCGAAGCTGTATTCTCAAGTGAATTTGTTTACTAGCAAAAGGTTCTACACAGACTACAAAGCATTCAGGGAGGCAAAATACAGCCCCCCAAAATCAAAGTAATTGAAAGTAGTCAGAGTTTCTCCCTTCCTAGTTATCTTTCAAGCACCTATGTTTTCATAGATCCAATTTCCAGCCTGTGAAAAGATCATGTAATGATATTTAAATTCCATCACTCTAATCTGAGTGAAGGAAAAACCACTAAAAAAACAATTAAAATTATTAAAACTATTTTTACAGTAATTGTATAAATCATAAATTTCTAACAGAAATAAGGCATAGAGTGGATTCTGTAAACTACTACAGATTTATTTTCTTACCACTATAGTATTGCCTTGATCATGTATCACTAGGGCTCTTCTATAATTATATATACACTTTTGCTTTGTAAACATGCTCAAATGCTTATCTAGGACCATTCTAAATTCTCATTTGTATCCAGGCATCTAACTAAACGTGATATTGCCTAATATTATGGTGCCATATTTATTTTACATCCATATAGAATTTTGCTGCCCTATTTCCCTACAACTTATGGGAATCACTTCCTCTTCCTTACCAATCCATTCTATGCTGTCCTCCTTCCAGAATATACAAAAAGAACATGGGAAAAAAACCCAAAGAAAAAAAAAAGAACACTGCTAATAAAACACTTGTTTCTGTTAGGTACCAGCAAAAAATATTACATCTTTTAAAATTATTTCCATATCTCTGACTTTTCTTCAAACATTTGGTTGGCCTACTCCTCAAAACTTTGCCCTTAATTCCCTATGTTCCTCCATTCTTCATAAAAACATGGAAGTTGTGAAATCTCTCCACATAAATCCACTGTGTGACTCTCATACTTCACCTTTTTAATGAAATCTTTAAAAATTGTGGTTTCATACACATCTCCCAGCAGCATACCAGAATTACTGGAATCATATTAATGTGTCCCCTACAGTAGTATCATTAAAACTCAGAAGACTATAGAACAGAACTCCATGACAGCAGTGTCAGCAACTGAAAATTTACACGGTTGTAGAAGCAGAATTTCTCATTGAAAAAGAAAACTTAAGCATTAATTTTCAAATGAATTAATTTTTATTGACTATATTTTATACTGCTTCTAATAACTCAGGATAAATATAAACTTGATTAGAATTAATGCAGTTTTGTATAGTTTTGCCAGGTTGACATACTCTTACAATGCAGTACAGAAAAAACATTACCGAACTATCCAGGTATCCATTCCCATCTGTATCATACAAGCGAAACATAACTGAAAAGAATACAGGAGAGAAGGAAGCTCAATTAGAAAACACAACAAATACATCTCTTTTTCATAAAAAAACCAACTCCAAACAAAACACAAAACAACTAAGCCTGAGTTTCAAAGAAAGGGCAAATATTAACATTTTTGTTTAATGACCAGATTAGCCATAAACCCTCCAAACAAGCTGCATTATGTGAAAGGTTCACTCAGCAACTACCCTGCCACAGTGCCTCCAATGAGACATCTTAGCCAGAGAGTACAACTGCCCCTTTTCCACACCATCACCCTAACAGCTAATTTGGTGTGTGAATTTATTTTGTTACCCTATGGAGAGGACCTGTCTTCATGAGAACTACCAAAAGGCCCTTCTCTGTGATCTCACCCAACATAGGGTAACACACAATTGGTCACAAATGTTGGTAAGCCTGCATAAGGTACAATGCTACTCTCCCTTGGCTGCAGCTATCATTATTCAACAGTGGTTGCTTTAGAAACTATTTTCTGATCACCTAAATGAAACACAGGATTAATATTTTAAGTATCTAATCATCCAAATCCAACAATAAACATTCATCACAAACTGCCGGCTTGACTTCTTCCAGGACTACACTTGCTTCATCAGCTTCAAAATGTACTCCAAACATTCTGGGGAACCACACAGACAAAAAGGTATATTTTGGCAATACCGAGAAAAAAATATATGCTTTCCAGACTGTATCATGACTTGATGCCAGCCAAAAGCAGGGGTACATGTGCCATTACCAAGATATTTGGAACCAGCAAACCATAAAGCTTTCAAAGGAATATTGATGGAAGACTAAAAAGAAGTCCAAAAGCCTACAAATACCCTACTCTTTGTCCCTACTTTCAGGACAGCTTGTCAGAGCTCTGAAATCCAAATACCCACCATGCTCTTCAAAAGCACCATTTTTTTTAATCCTACACCTATTTTTTAGGGATGAAGAAGTCTGCCCATGTAGTGGTGGTTTCAGGACAATGTAATGCTTTCATCAGCAGCAGAACACAAGTAATCTGTTTCCAATCAGATGTCTCTGGAAATGTAACATACAACCTATTTAACACTGAGGAATCCTACCACACTGGATCCACAGCAGAAGCTGCTACAGTCCAGAAAATCGAACAAACAAAGCTTACCATAATTTTCAGGAAAAAAATATAATGAGGAGTAAGAAGAAAGTATTAGCAATTAGAGAGTAAAGTTCAGAAAGAATTTGATCATTTTTGGACTTACAGAAAAACTGTTAAATGTATAGGTTTGTTTCACTTATATCCTCCATCTTGGGAATGAGTGGATCATCTAACCGTGTGGAAAAAGGATAAGCTCTATACCTCTCTACCACTTCAGCAATTTTTGCCACTACCTTGCACTGCTCTTCAGAGCTGTAATACAAGATTGATTATATTTACAGCAGTACACTATTTCACGCCACAAAGGCCCATGATTCATTAGTTACAGGTTAGGAAAACCTATAAAATATCCTTCTTTCCCTAGAGTTACCACAGCAAAATTGTTTCAGTGTAAAACAAGTTAATGTCAAAAGCCACCAGAGATTGGTACTGCCCCTGCTAGTACACCTTCCACCAAAGCTTCTCAGAGCTTGACAGCTAATATTGTCCGGCAAAGGTACCATTAGGCATTCACAGTTTCCACGGGGATGAATCAGTGAATCACTCAACAATAAAGATAAAATTATTTGGCTCTCCTTCCTGTTCCTCTGTGATTCTTAGACAGTAGTTGAGATAATGTTTTACAGCAAGTTTTAGCACTTCTGTGACCTTTATCCACTCCAGAGCAGCAGTGCTTACAACTTTTTTTTTCCTTTAAAATGAATCAGTAGTTCTAATCAGTCGTTTAAAACCAGACATTAGTGTAATTATAACTGTTTCACGTTTGTCAAAATAAAGTCTTTCCAATTACATAGGCATAGGGTAGCAAAAAGACTCAATCTGTGCTCTTGGCTAGATTCTGAAAACTATGCTACTGGTGGGGCATGCAATCTCTTTTCTATTCATACACTGCTAAATATTCATGTTCTTGATTTACTCATTCTAGGAGAAAAAAAACCAAAACCAAACCAACAACAAAATGATAAAAACAACCAAGAAGAAGTTCTGATGTAAATTCCAGAGCCCAAGTTAAATTTTTCTATTTCTTTTCCCATCCCCTTACCTGATTAGAATAACTGTGCACTCAATTTCTATTTCTAGATGGCAATTTAACCTTAAAACATAAGATATGTCCTCTCAGTGTATCTCTGTGAGGAATGCTTGGGATTTTCTTATATTCAGGTCATACACAGATTATGAATAATAGATACACTGAGCATGCCAAACAGGTGAAGTTCACACTATGCAAGACCTCTCAACACTCTTAATAGGTTAGAAAATCCATTTATCTTCTGGAATATTTATAAATCTCTGAAAATCTGTAGATCATATAGATCCAAAGATGAAACTCTTAGCGCAGTTTATCCTCCAGCCTACATCAAATTTTAATTGAAAGCATCACTTTCATGTTCTGCATGTCCTGAACTGAATTTTCAAACACTCAGCTATGACTCATTTTTTCCAAATTTTGTTATCTGGAAAAAAAAAAGAAAAGAAAATTGCTTTTTTCCCTTCGTTGCTACAAACTTATAATTTACATTACAGCCATCGGACCTACTGCTTTCAAATCTGGAGAGAGAGTTAAATTATACCATTAATTTATAATGAGAATTCAACTGAAATCAAGGGAAAAGTTTGCACACAATGGTGCAGTATAACCTGAAATTTAAACACTAAAAAGTGAAAACACGTATGTATTTCAACTCTGTTGAAAAAGAGGAACTTTGTCAACTCTGTATGACAAAGAGGAATATAAACCCTTTAAACAACTATGCCCAGAATTATATGTAGCAAGTACAACTGACCTTGAATACACAAAATATTTAAGTACCATACACATATTAGGTCTCTTGCTCTTAAATCACATATCGCAGTCTTTTGCCCATGCAGCTCCCTTTGCAGGAAGCTCATGGAAAATCCCCATACTGTAATTATCATTGCTCCTCTGTCTCTCCTCCTTTCCACTGTACCACCTCCTGACACCAGGGGAGGCAAGTGGTCTCTATTTCATGCCGTGGTTTGTGCATCAGCTCCTCAGAGCTCTGGTAGGGCTGGCATAACTTGACACCGTGCAGCAGTTATTACACTGTAAGTCAAATTCAGTCCTTGGATCTGTGTTTCTGTGTCTGTGTTCTGAATGTGCATTCACACTTACATTCTCATATTTTACTCATATGATACCAAAACAGTATTACCAAATTTGGGGGATTTGCTGTGACCTTGCAGTACAAAGTTGCCACTGTACACTAGCTACAGGTTAACAAAACATCAAGATACTTCAGCAGCATGTAACCTTGTAATGAATTTATTATTTTGGCATAAGCAGAATACTGTTTCCACATCCTAATGTACTGAACATTTACTTTGCATATAAGAGCCTGATTCCACAGATCTTTAATGAACAGACCAGTTATGTATATTGAAGCATACTTCTCCTCAATAAGGACTATATGATTGGTCTGACTGTTTAGCCACATGAGAAACTGACTTCTAAAACTCCACAATAACAAAAGTTTTCTTCTTTTTTCCTCCAATTTATAGATCAAACTCACAGGGTTGTCTTTTTTATTTTTTAAACAGGTAGTAGTGTTGCATTTTAATGACCTAGGCCCCTAATTTAAAAAAAAACAAACAAACAAGCAAAACAACCAAACAAGAATTTCTAACTTCCTGTGTCAAACACTCCTTCCCAATAGTGATGCAGACTTGGATCATTCTTGGCTTTTCAGCATCCAATAACATTATAGAGCTCACAGCCTATATTAGCAACTAATCTTTGTTTGAATTAGGATGTTTAGTAGCAGTTATTCACCCCACCTATGGATCTCTAAGTAAACATATAGTTTGTCTGTTTTTCTCAGATCTGATACTAAACAAGACATGACAGTACAGAGAGCATTACTGTAACTACAGAACATACAATCCTTACTCCTCATTTTAGCAAATGCTAGATAGAACAAATTTCATTTAAAATCTCACCATTAGTAAGAATAAAAAATAATTTCTGCAATAGGGGTCACCTGGAACCATATTTTTATAATCCATCTGCTCAAAACTGGTTTTTAAATTCAGAAACAAAATATCTGATGGCTTACAGAAATAAATATCTAAAATTAAAAAAGAACATACATTCTAGCTTGTCTTCAGGTCTTCCTCTTTCTAGCAGTGACAAATAGCAAACAATATCCTTCAGCTGGATCATATCTGGCAAATGTGAGTTGGCAGGAGTAGGAGGTCTGGATGTAGAGGTACCCTTGTTAAGTCTCAGACCTGGAAACAACCCATAGCCTTTGTTAGTCTGAACACACGATACAAGCAGAAAATGAAAACGTAAATTTTCCAAGCATTCATCTTTGTTTTATCTGAATCACAGGTTACTTCTTAATTTAAATATAAAGTTTTAAACAGTTCATTTTCATAGTTTATTCATCAAAAGTAGAATTATGGGAATGGCATAAACTTTTTTTTATTTGTGCTGATCTGATTTCATTTGACTACAAAACAATTTGATGAATATTTTTGTTCTACCATACTAGATCCTAAGTATTAAAAACAATCCCTGCCCAAGTCTGCATCCACTTTCTTGTGCTTGTAAAAGCTTCATCTAATTTATAGATTAACAACAACTACACTAATTGAAGATGTTTTAGTATCAATGAAAACTCTACCAATACCCAAGTGAATTATCCCAAAAACACAGCCAGATGTGTGTCAGTGCAGCACATATTTAAAACACAGAAGTCTGAGTGACAGACTACTGAGAAAATAAATTTAGAATTTAAATAATAGTCATAACAATTGCTCAGACATTGTGATTAATAGAAGTTCCAGTGTACCACTTGGACATAAAGTTTCAAAATTGCCAAACTTTTTATTTCAGTACAACATTAGTATCTGCAGGGCCAAAATGGGGGGAAATGGAAAGGACAGCACAATTCAGAGAAAGGAGCAAGAAAACTTTCTTTACAAGGTTGTTACATTTCTCACTGACTGAGAGTTGTCCCCTCTCTCCCTAAATTTAGCTTAAAGAACTTCATTGCAATCCAAATACATCTTCAAAAGCCTACATTTTCAAAGGTATGCCTGCATATTATGAGATAAACATGTTAAAACAATAAATAAGGTAAAAAGGAGCAAACTGGCGTGCAACAATGTACTTTGGAAATTATTTCATTTTCATGGTTTCAGCAAATAATAAACAATAAAAGTAAATATTAAAGGAACAAAAATATTTAATAAGTCAATGTTTTATTTGATGAGCTTTCACATCAGTTAAATGTCATTAAAATTAAGACATTGCAATATTTTATACAGTTAAATGTTAGCTTTAATCACACAACTTACAGAAATAGTTTATATTGCAGTCTTACATAAATCATACTCACAGAATAAAAAGGATTATAAAACCTGGGATAACTCTTCTCAAAAATAAATAGTGCTGAAATCCAAATGAAAATAAATACAAATTTTAAGATACCTTTTAACCTATCAGCTGCAAGATACAGGTTAAGTTATTACTTCCTAATCAGAAGTGGGAAGGGCTGGCTGCAATGCACTGACTTACAGATGACTTCCAGTCCTGCTGCTTACCTGGCATCTGTTTCCATCTCTCTTCAGACGCCTTAACTGAAAATACAGTTTATAAACAGACATGAGTAGACCAAAAAAGACTAAGTGTAAAACAAGCACATACCTGACGGACTGATGAACCCTGCTACTCTCCTTGTCATTTCTCTAGCTCTCACTTACCCCTCCATTTCAGACAAAGTTATTTTCCAGTACAGTCAAGCTTTTTTCTTCACTATTGGTAACATTTGAAAATTAATAGGTACCCAAAACCAAGTGTTTCCATAGTTTCCATGTGCACATCAAATGTACCAATGCACAGTTTTTTTCCCTTAAAACTTACAAATTATCAGGATCTAACATTTCATTTAAACCATGAAATTGAATTACAACATGAACCCAATCAGTATATTTTCAAGCTCAAACAATTCTTGCACAAGGTGAACTGGACTGTCTCTCTGAATATGTTTTGGATGTAACAATTTATCAAACAGTCCTTCCGGCATTACGCTAAAAACATGGAAGCTTCCTTAACTGGTATTATATTATCTTATCTCTAAAGTACTTAGTAACAAAAAAATTAAAAACTCTTGACAAACTTGTGTAGGAGAAAAATATTTTAGGAGGCAACATCACAGTAACAAACTTAACATACAGTTGAAACAACAACAGTAACAGCACTATCCTTAATAATGGTGTTATAAAAATTACCATTATTATAATTTTACCACACATAGGAATAAAATATGCCAAACAGAACTACAGTGAAAGTGAAGAAAGCTAAGTACAGCCTATATAGGGCAGAATTTAGCTGTGTCCTCTGAAATCAAAATCACTTTTAGTGATATACTAACACTTACCCAACATTTAACATATTGGCAGCTGCTAAGTATGTAGGATTAATAACAACAGAATCACACCTAGACAGTTAAGAACAACAGCAGCAACTGGCACAGAGATGGCTGAGCACCAGCAGGAGCCTCCTGCATGAAGCTTGAAGATTTCTAAGTGTTTGTACAGGAGAGTAGGCAACAAGAACATGTAACCATAGCAATTTGATTAGCATGAACATGACAAAAAATGTCCACTTGGTGTCTCAGCTGCATCATTATTGTGAATTAAAAAGACGAAAGCATTTAATTTCCATTCCTTTTCACAGTATTTCTTATTATGGTTGAGTTAGTTTTTCTAATTTCACAAATACCAGAAACAAAATCTCTCAACATGTAGTTAAGAATTCTACATATTTACAGCTATTAGAAGTAAAACAGCAGGGTGAGGGAACCTTTAGCTCTTTAAGTACTGATTTTATTACTTACCCCCAGAAAGGTGCTGTGGTTTGTTTTTAATTAATGGGCTGCAGTGAGAGATTTTGTTCCTAAATGATGTAAAAAGGTGTTCAATGAAATCATCTGGTAACTCTGCCTCCAGAAAAGTCTTCATGAACAGCTTGAACCCCTCTAAATCAATTGTCTGCAGTGAAGGGGAAGTAAAAGAGAAAAAAAATATTTTGTAAAACAAAAAAATCACACGAATTCACCAAATAATATTCTGTTTACAAAAGCTTCGGACTGTTTTTGAATATACTGATTTCTGAAGATCTGACTGGCATACCTATTCTTGAAAGTGATTATTGAATTAAGTATTATTTTGAAAATTCACAGTATTGCTATAATACCTCAGAGCATGTGCAAAACAGCCCAGAGTAAATTCAGAGCACTTCTATTGGGACCCTGAAATCAAGTTCCATGCACTCAAATGTCTTGATTAGCATCAAGGCGCCTACAGAGCTCCTAGGGATGTACTTAGCATGTCTTTAGCTTTTCCTATAATTAGGCAGACAAAAAGCAGGGGATTTGTTGATGCCTAATTCAGGGAATTGAAGGCCTGTCTTTTCCTATGTGGCAACATGCTTTGCTGGTGTTTGTCAGAGATACTAATCACCCTGTCTCAAATAGGTTCAAATGAGAGTGCTCAGACACACAGTATTACTTAGAGGGGAAAAAAACAAAAGTTGCCGATCCAGAACATTTGTCATTTAGCTTAATTTGGTTTTGCTTTTGCCAGCAAGGTAAGAGCTAATTAATAAAACTGGTATGATGATTTTTTCTGTTAAAACACCATTGTCTGTTTTAATGAATAAAATGAGTCATAGATTTTCTCAAGTTGGAAGGAATACATAAAAAGCATTGAGTTCAAGTCCCTGCTCCTCACAGGACTACCTGAAACTCAATCATATGACTAAGAGCATCATCCAGATGCTCCTTGACCTCTGATGAGCTTGGTGCCATGACAAAAACATGGTCTGGAAAGCCTCTTCCACTGACCAACCAGCCTCCCAGTGAAGAGCCTTTTCCTGATGCCTGATCTGAACTTCCTCTGATGCAACTTCCTTCTGTTTTTTCATGTCCTGTTGCTGGTCACCTCCCCCTCAAGGAAGGTGAGGCTGCAATGGGACCACAGCAATGCAAAGCATTATGATCCCATTTTATCCTGCTAATAGAGAATGAAGATTAAGTTATCCTGAAACATATTGCCAAAACTGCATATTTAGTATTACTTTGGTGATTGTAAAACTTATCAGTTATTAATCTGATAAAACATAGTGTTACTTTATAGATCAAACAGAACAGCAACTTGTAATTGTTAAATAATTAAGGGATAAATCCACATGATAGCACAAAACTGACTTTGAGAAATTTCCCTATTCTTCAGGAATACTACATATCTCCAGAAAAAAGTCTAGTGCAACTCCTTTAGTTCATCACAGTGAACATGGAAGGAGGGAAAAGGCTACCAAGAATCAGCTTGAAACCATGCCAGAAAAAAGAAAATAGAAACTCTGAACTTTCAAAGGACTCCCTGAATTTGGAATCTGAGCCACAGTATAAATAATTTTAGCTATTATTTTAATATAATTATAAGACTTAGGAAACTTCTCTTCCCCTGATTTCTTTGACTTTTACATTTTAATGTATTTATGAGATATTGAAAATTTATGCGCATGCTAAATAAGGTGTTTCCCATTAAGAGCAAGACCTAACTACCAAAGGGTAATGTTTTAATGTGCATCATCATCCTTATGAGGAATCAACACCAAAAATTGCAAAATCTGACTCCTCTTGTGCAAGTCATAATTACAAGGAATTCAAGATTGGCGAGAGGGTATCTCTGCTGAGCTTCTAATACAGAACACCTTATTTGAGAAAAAAGCAGTGGAACCAACAAAACTCTCACCTCCTGAAGATAAATATAGCAGAGACTGAAAAAAATTTTCACAATGCTCAAAATGGGTATAAAACAGAAATAATCACCTTGACATGGACTCATTATCTCATCAGACAGTTTCAGCCACACTCTTACCTTGGCAAATCATACACTGTTGCATTCATGCTACAAACTTTACAGTTTTTCTCTCTAATAAAGCCACTGACATTTAATTCTGTTTATAAACTGTTTATAAACCATGAATCACAATAACAAAGGGATTTGTATCAGCATCCAAGTAAATCAGTAATTAGTGACACTAATATACGCTATATGAATGTATTTTTTATCTGCAAGCATAACAAATACATTAATCACTAAATCAACTGACTTTAACAATGTGAAATTGCTTTGTTAAATTATGCATTAATGAAATGTGTCTTAGCTATCTCACTGAATCATATACACAAAAAAATAGCTAAGTGAAAATGGAAAGTAAACCAAAGTTATAACCCCATTTAAATTAAGGTTGATGGATGGCCATGTAAATATCTTTACACTACACTAATTTTTTCTTTATTTACCTTGTCTGTGGATTTTATGTATATTGCAAAAAAAAAAATTCCCTGACTTTAGAGCCACCTTAGATTTTTTAACTGCTCCATGAGTGGCATTGGTTCTCCAAGCTGCCAGCAGTAACTAAATCCCTACTGCTATGGGGTTTTGTTGTTTGGTTGGTTTTTTTTTTTACTTAATGGGTTCAGAATTATACCAGTGCAGAGAACTTGAAAAATAAGCAAGTTTGAAATTATGTACTTTCTTCTTCCTGAAGGCCCTTCCTCAAAGGTGTACAAACTTTTCAGTATTTTGTAAAGATTGTCTGACTATCAAGCCAATATCCTCCAACACATGTTCCAAACTGCTAGAAAAGATAAGAGATACTAATGTAACACATGACTCAGCTACCACATCCATTTATTACGTTTGACATCCTTAGTTCCAGCAACCAGGGTGGCTCTGCAAAGGGCCAAAGACAGAGTGCGGTTGTTCTAAAGGTTGTTTTACAGCCAGGTTTCTTCAGCTGACAGTGCTTTATCCTCTGTTCTAACACGCTCTGTGACCTGTATTCCCCCAGGAGAGCAGCACTATTCATATAACCAGAGTTCAGATGCTGTATATCCAAAAGCTTTCAAATTATAATGGAAGTTCATCAGGAGCTGGAAAATTACTTGAACACACATCAGAAATGTTTAGAACAGCCAAAAATGCAGGTGCAAAATCACATGCTGTATGTAAAGAATGTATAAAACCAATTCTGCCTAAGGGAGATCTCTGTATAGGGCCCTGTGATTAGGTTCTTGCCTAAAACCTCAAAATCTGGGATTATAATTATAAATATAATTATATATATTATACTGCATTGCTGAAAAACGTTCTAGAAGACCTAATATAATTGGTGTAGATTATCATGTTAGAAATGAGCTCTAAAACGGTACAGTAATTTCTGGATATTTGTTTTTGCAAATGTATATAAAACAAATAAGAGAACTAAGCTAGTGTGCAGTAGACCTAGAAGTAGTTTGTATCATCCATCAAGACATTTCTCTATTCTGAAATATTACAGCCATTTCTCTATTCTGCAATTGTAGACTATTTTTCTTTTTCCTCATGGAACTTTACCCTTCTGAAATAGGGAAATGCTGCAGCCCTTCCTTTAATTACCAGCACTCACCCCCACCCCAGCCACTTTTCAAATGTATTGCACAATGTTTTGGTAAGCAAAAAGACAAAAAAAAAGAAGGAAAGCAGAGAACAATAATCTTCCACCTTACCATGTGCCATGCTTGATCTTACTTTTAAATTTCACTATCATTATCAGAATTTCTCAGATGAAAAGTTCAGAGAATTTTGGTATGGTTTGAAAATTATTTATGCTAATGAATTCACAAAAATTAATTAAAAAGTTCAGATCAATAACATCAGAATAATATAAAAACCATAATGGTGGATGTGGTTTTCTTAAGCATGCAGGCTAATTGCTTAATTTTCAACAGTTGCTTGCATTCTAGAAGCTACAGCTAAATTTAAATTAATTTGAGAAAGAGGGATTTAGCATTTTCCATGATGTTTCAAAAGTGAGGGGATGAGAGGATGTACCAAACTGACAACAATTAGCATGGCAACTGCACAAGAGACTATCAGGGCATAGGAAGATTATGATCACAAGTTTAGGGATTTCAGGAAAATTTTCAACATAACAGAGATAAAATGGGACACAGTTGAATCAGAAAAACATGAAAGAACTTTCAAATAATTTGGCCTAAATCTTCTGAGGGAGTCTAAAAAAAAAATCTGTGCACTTTTAGCTTTGACTCTAATAAAATCCTTGCCTGTAGGTCACAGAAAAATAAAGGGATTTATAATAATCATTTAAAACCAAATTTCTATTTTTATATATCAAATTTATTCTCCAAGTTCATTGGAGGTCCTTTTCTTTTACAAAAAGAAACTTCACAAAATAAGACTCCTGTATTACTGGATAATAAAATTTCATTTGGTAATGAAAAATTTTGGTATAACTCCAGAGAAGTGCACATTCAAAACCACCATATTTTTAGCTAATTTAAGCAATAAAATTCATATAAAATTTATTTTATTATATTTTTAGAAGTTGTTCGTTCCTACTCATAGATTTTATCAATATTTTCAAACATCTGAATATAAGGAAAAAACCCTAAAAATTATATATTCATCTTGGAGAAAAGAAAAGGAGAAGGAATGTAAGACATGAGCAACACTGCATAAATTTATGTTTCATAATTATTTTTAGCAAATAAAATGTGTAAACCATTAAACAATTTTCTTATTTTCTGAATGCAAACATGAAACCGGACTCACTATGACCCAATGCATAGAGAAATTAAAAATGTGCATCTTTTCCTACACCATAAATTGCTGGTGAAAATCAGTAACATTTCATTAACCAGCCACAAAATTTCAAAATTAATCCTAGCCCTAACTTCCAAAAAGCATTTAATCCATAAGTATTGCATTTTGTTTTTTGTTGGTTTGGTTTTTTTTTTTTTCCTAAACTCCTTCCAAATATATAAAGAAGAAATGGACCAAAGTTTATAATGAGGTCTAAGTCACTGACTGGCCACAGGAAAGAAGGTTCTCGCTAGATATGTTCACAGAAAAATAAAATAATCCTCAAAAAACAAAAATATGTGCTATGCCCCAAGTACAACTGAGACCATCACTTCCTT